ATATCATTAAGCCCTTTATGTATTTCAATATCGTTTAAACAATCAACATCGACAGAGACAATAAATAGATAACTCCATTAGCGACTTTTTAATAAGCACATAATGGCCCATTTCATATTCATATATTTCTACTTCAGGAGGAAATAACTTAGTCACTTGCTTGCTCCTTCAAGTCATATAAGCCTTTGTAATTCAACAAAATAATGTTGTGATTTTCATTTCTTTTATCATTCTGAGAATTATAAACCCATAAGGTATTTTTCCAAATAAACATTAGCGTATAAATGACCCATAATTATGCGGTCATGACCTTCATCAGCTGCATATTAGAATTTATTATTCTGTCAACGATATTATATAGTGGAATTTAATGTCATCTATCATAAGAGATTTTTTTTATAGGGATTATTACCTGAATGTAGGTTTGATGGTCAATCACGGGTCCTTTGCGTTGGAGGAATGCAACCCGGCCTAACCCGACCAGGCCCCTTATCCCTCCTGATCTTACCTCTCGCATCGATCTCTTCTATGGGCGAGCCCGCAGGTCGCCTTGAGGCTAGTTGGAGGACGAATCTCCTTAGGTCGGGCCAAGCTGGTGAAGTACAGCGTGGTGTGCATCCTGAAATAATCCACATTTCTACAATTACTTTTGCAATTTGGGTTGTGCATCGTGTAATACCTGATTGTGCAATTCCCACGGGAGTAGTGGTTATTGACGGAAACAGGTCTTTCCGTGCGGTCAGTGCGGCATATACCATTAGGTATGCATAAATGCACCATACAGTGTTCGAGAATACACCAGAATGAAATGCCAAAAAAATGCACCACACAAAAAAAAAATACACCACACATAATAGTGTAATTTTGAACTATGTGGTGCATTTATGCATACCTAATTGTGTATGTTGCACTGATCGACCGCACCGGAAAACCTATTATCGCAGGAACCTGACCCTATATATATATATATAGAGAGAAGGGCAATATACCGGCAATGTATTGAGCTGAGACACGAGAGGGGGTTTGGGCATACTAGATAAGGCGAGGAAGCCATTCTCATGCCGCGCTTTAACGCAACAGCCTTCACGTGCGATTTTGACTCCATATTCAGCCTTTAGCCATGGGCCACGACACACGTCATTCTCGCGACGGCGACGCCACGATATTTCCGTGGACCGGCGAAAGCGAGTTGGCGTCCGCCAGCAACAACGGAGGCGGGCCACGGGGGGGATCGATTGCGGTCATGATCTGATCTGTAAGGAAATGACTGGAAACTGGATTGTCCCCGCCGGCAATGATATGTGGCCGGCAAGCATGTGGTCTGTGATTATGACTGGCCCTCATTAAAGACCAATTCTTGATTATATTATGGAGTCTTGAATTGGTTTGGCTTTATTATTATTTCCAAGATAATATACATATAGCTATGACACATACTGTACCCACCAAATTAAAGTCTTTGGTGGGGTGGTGTGAATTATGGTTCATGAATAACATAATCATATATGATAAGACCAAGGTTCTTATTAAGGATATATACATCATTATCGCACCATGATGTATGTTTAGGGTTTTACTGTTTGTACGATGTTAAAAAGGTATTTATTCGAGGGACTGTATGTGTGACTTATGTGCAGTACTTTTTGAGTAGAGCTCACTTTGTGATTCTAGTTAATAAAGGACCACAAGGAGGTAAACGATAGACTGGCCAGACATGAAACTCTAAAGAACCAAAAATGTAATTTTTTCAAAATCAAACTTGAAACTTTGTAGTTACCATGTAATTATTTGTCCAATTTGTTAGAATATATAATGCCCAAAATACTAAACTGTACTGTGTAATCGCAATGTTGAAAAAATCGCTAGGTGCTTGGGACCGCCTAGGCAGGCGCCTAAGGCTCTTAGGAGACCGACCGCCTAGCACCTAATCGGCGCCTAGCCGGATTTTTACAAGTGTAGACCAAATAGTGAAGGGGTTGGGATAGGTGAGCAGACAAGTGGCATGTTCTAATTGGGCATTCCACTGAATAGCAGACAGTAGTTGGGACAAAATCAGGTGAGATGTCGACAACGTTCTTCCACGGCGATGTTGGTGTCCGCAGAGGATAAGGGTCGGCCGATTCTGTCAACACAATTTCATTGTTGATGTACACGTTTGAAATTTTAAAAGCAAACAAATTTTTTAAATAATTGAAGGTATAATAAGTCTTAATTTATTCCAATGATTGATTACAATAATGTAATTAATCAAGATCAAAGTTAATTGGGTGGCGTTAATTATAAATGCGGTAAAATTTTAAATTTAATTTTTAACTACTAAAATATAGTGAAAATATGAATAGATACTACATTGTAACAGAACCACTAGTACTCAAAGAAAATGGGGAAAAATTTTAAAATTATGATTGAAAATGAATTCTTTAATAAATGAATTTTTTAATCACTTTAATTTAGATATTGAATACCATATGTATATAAAAATTTTTAAAAAAAAAAACTTATTTAAATTAATTAAATTAGTATTATTTATAAGGTTTACATGTTCAAAACTCAAAAGTACATTAAAAATGTACGTATTAGTTACGAAAAAGTAAAATTTTAAAATTATTAGAAAGTATTTTTAAAAAAAAAAATTGAAATTTTAAATATTGCAAGTTGGAAGTAAAATTATGGACCATAGGATTGCATGTGTGTGTATAGGGAGAACTAAATAATTTCATAATAAAAAAAGAGTTATTTTCGCGTAGTCTCTCACGTTATGTCGTACGTTTTCATGACAGTCCATAACAGTTCCATATGTGTCTGTCTCTACGTTCCCAAAATGTGCAAAATATTTGCTTATTATTGGGAAAAATATTTCCTGTTTTTCTGCTCCTCTTTGCCCGACTCTATCACCAACTTCATTAATTAAAATACCATCAATAAATCAATAATACGCACTTATTGTTTTTATAAGCATCAAATTAAAAAGGTGATCCACTAAGTGGGGTATGATTATCGTATCAGAAGGAGAGCACGAGTTTAATTTGATAATTGCCAACACCCTCTCGGTTGACATGTCACACAAGATCTTTCTAGTGCAGGCCGTTTAATTATCTCCTATGTGATTTGCAAACTATTACACATGAACGGATCAGAGTTTACCTATACTAGGCACGCTTTTGAATAGTGACTATGAGTTTCATTGCTCGTCACAAAAAAAAAAAAAAAAAAAAAAAAAAAAAAAAAAAAAAAAAACAAAGGGCCTAAATAACGTTTACAATCAATACACTCTAAGACGCTCTACAGCCCGACAGAACATCTGGGAGGATGTAAATCATGCTAATTCAGCTGAACACAGAGGCTAGACCTCTATTAACCTCTATTATCATATGTATGCACATGTAGACAAGCACAACTGGAAATTATGGAATTTCCGACCACCTGAAAGTGATCTTAAATCAAGTCGAAAGCAAAAAGTGGTCGGAAATAGCAACAAAGGTTTTTCTGGATACCAAAAGTGATCAAAACAAGGCTTTCGACTTGATTTAAGATCATTTTCAGGTGGTCGGAAATTCCATAATTTCCAGCAGTGAAGAGAAAACGAAGACCATGTATTGTGGCCAATCAGTTTACACACCCTTTTGTCCATGTACCCTTATATAGTATAATATGAATTTTTGTACAAGTTTTAAATTCAACCATACATATGTATGTACCAAAAATAATAATAATGAAAACATACAAGACAGCATATTGCTAAAGTATATTTGGTTACCAAAAACGAGTGCATGCATTAACTAAAAAAGGAGAAAATGAATGGGGCACATTAATGCATTGTTTGAAGGGAAGAATGCATGAATGAGACAGTGATGGCCCTCTACCATGTCCAAGTTGATAACAAGTCCCTTTCAGGCCGAGTTGGCAATTAATTAAGCAGACAAAACCATATAATAAACTCTTTGTTTCCCATAAAATAGTTCAATTCAGTCTGCCACAAATTAAAGGCCTCTCCCTATACTAGCCTCCACCACACATTATATATCTTCCCCTCCCCTTTCTCCCATATAAAACCCCCCCAAAACTCCACTCTCTCATCATCATCAACCCAACAAACAAACCTTCAAACACGTACAACCTTAATTAGCTCTGATAATCTTCTGTTTCTGCAACAACAATATAATCTTCAGATAGAGATAGATGGCGGCTGGTTTCATGTCTTCATCTCTCAGAGGAGGCTCCAAGCTCCGGCCATGGCGGGCCGGATCGAAGCAGATTAGAGAGCAGAGGGCACGGCTCTACATAATCTGGAGATGCACGGTGCTGCTTCTCTGCTGGCATGACTGAATTCAATATATATACACATATATATATAGCAGTAGATCCCCGAAATACACTCGGGCCGGGGCCACTACAAGAAAATACAATAGGGAATTAATGTCGATTTCACCTACTACAACATACTCATCACGAACTTTATCAGTCAGTAAATCTGATTTTTCTTGTACCACGCATAGCGGAAAGATAGATTGTACAGAGTTTTGTGTAATAACATATTACAAAACTGATTTTCTCATTCTTCTCTATGAATCTTGATCACTTCTAGGTTTGAAACCTTATATGTTTGCGAAGAGTATTCTTGTTATCTTATAGTTACCGGTAATAACGTGACACAACAGTGTCAAATATAATTATGGGATTGATTTCAATTTAGGAGTGTTTTAGTTACCTGAAAAAACAGTGGAATATAATGATTGGTTTATAGAGAAAAGAAAAAAAGAAAATGTTCGTTCATGCAAGATGGATGAGGTAATAAGATGTGCTACAAACACATACCAAATTAAATCCACATTCTTTAATCTTTAAAATAAGGTGTCATTGGTCCGGCGACCTAATCGAGAACATGAAAAGCTTATGAATGAATAATATTTGTATATAACGTGGGTGGGGGGTTGTTTGTTAGTATGTACTATGTAGTGGATGTTCGATCATAAAAACAACATTAATATTAACGAAAAAGTATGGAGGGAAAGAAGTACGTGTTGAAAACGGGATTCCTGATAGTATTGTTGGTAGTGTGTCACGTGGCGGAGAGCAAGTGGGTGCCGGTGCCGGTGCCGGTGATATCCGGCCCGCTCTGCACGTCGCAGTTCACGCTGGTGAACCACGCCTGCGCGTTCCTGCCGTTCGCGCCGACGCCGCACCACCGTTCCCGGCCGGCGCAGCCGCAGGCTTCAGGCGGCAACGACCACCACCGCCGCCATCACAACCAGCAGGAGGGCGGTCATGGGGGCCACGGCCACGGCGTCCACGGGGGCCACGGCGGTCACGGGGGCCACGGGGGCCACGGCGACCACGGGGACCATGGGGGCCACGGCGGCAACGGGGGCCACGGCCACGGTGACCACGGGGGCCACGGCCACGGCAACCAAGGCGGGCGCGGACGCAGGAGCCGGGAGGGGCGGAACAGGAGGCAGCGCCGCCGCCGCCACCACGATTCGGCGGTGCAGGAGGACTGCTGCCGGTGGCTCAAGGAAGTCGACGACGAGTGCGTCTGCGATTTGCTGGTTCACCTGCCGCCGTTCCTGTCCCGCCCGCTCCACAAGTACACCGTCAGGGTCGACGGCACCTGCAGCGTCACGTTCCAGTGCGGTTCCAGAATCAAAATATGAACGCCGCCATAGCCGCTAGCTAGAAGCGACCTAAGCTGTACGTGTTTACATATATACATACATACATACTGTTTTTGTGTTTTGCAGTCTGTTAATTAACTACCTTAATCTGCTCTTCTTCTTTTTTCGATCCAACTATGATGTAACGTTGTCGCATTAGGATATATATATATATATAAACATATATATAGACTATATATATATATATGGATCATCATCGATCTTGTAACGCTTGTTGTTGTGATAGATTATTAATCAAATAAATTACTCTCACATTCCCATGTCTGTCTTAGTGTTGTTAATTATAATGTAACTCAATGATTCAGCAATGTTGGCGTGCATAAAGAATCTATCTACTCTAAAAAAAATCCTCACACTGTGCTGCTGAAGTTTGAGCCTTTGTCTCTTTTTTCAAATATTATATACGGAACCAGTGACTTAAGTTGGTGTGAGCAGAATATATGTAATCTTTTTAAGTCCATTTGGATGTTGTTATCATATATTAATTACAAACGGAAGATTTTTTGAAAGGGTGCCATTCAAATTAATTACCAATAGTTATGTCGTGAAACCGTGTTCACCACGTGCATGGTAAACACGGGTAAACTGTAGATTCATAATATTTATACTGTAGATTCATAATTTCTATACTGTAGATTTATAATTTTTATACCGTACTATAGATTAATAATTTCTGTACTGTAGATTCATAATTTCAACAGCATAAAAATTATGAATCTACAGCATAGAAATTATGAATCTACTAACACATTTCCATAGCATAATTTGCGATTAATTACTCCCTAAAATACTGCACCAAACCTGGGCCAGAAAAAGGCCAAAGGCCCAAATGCCCAATGCTATATCACAAAACAACTGAAATCCAATTTATAAAACAATAATTTAGTTCTCTGTCTAAATTTTGTTAACAAATTATAAATTATAAAAGTATATCTTTAAATAGTGACCACAAATCTTTCTTTTTTTTTTTTTGAAACGTGAAAATTAATGCATTAAATCATGGAACAAAGTGTTTACAAGAAACAGTGGTGGGTTGTCATACCACTCAATCTGCCCCTGAACAAGCCTCCCTTGCAACCACATGAGAAGCTGTATTCGCAGACCGTTTTACAAAATGGAATTGGACATCATCAACTACCATAGCCAATTCTTTAATATCATCTATAAGTAAACCAAAAGTAGAATTAAAAGAATGTTGGAAAAGAGAATGAAAAACGGTTTGTGAGTCCGTTTCCACATCCACATCCCCCATCCCAGTATCTTTGAACCAGCTGAATGCTTCTCTCACAGCTATTGCCTCTGCCTCATTAATCGTATAGACCCCTTCAAACCGCACATTCTTGGCAGCCATAAAACCCCCATCATGGCCTCTCAAAACCCATCCTATCCCTGTAATTCCTGCTGCAGCATTAACGGATGCATCTGTATTCAACTTCCACCTCCCACTTTGTGGCGGTTTCCACCTGCTCAACACTTGGACTTGTTCATCTGCTTGTTCGGTTTCGTTAGCATGTTTCCAGCCTTGCCAAAAAGAAAGTGTTCGGCGCAACATCATGTCACTATTGAACACCACCCCTTCCCACACATACTGGTTTCTGCTCCGCCATACACCCCAACACACCATAAGAAACTTATCCAAAACCTCCCCTTTCAACACAGCCAGCATATGGAAAAACCAATCCACCACATCATTAAAAGAACCAGGTGCCGAAGTTATTCCCAATGCAGCCCAAATCCTTACAACTGCATCGCATGTTCCAAAGATATGAAACGCACTATCCGGGAGTATCCTACACATGACACATCACATCACAATTTATATTCTTAGCATGTAGTGCATCTTGTGTTGGCAAAAAAAGCCGAGGCTAACTGCCATGCAAACTGTCTAACCTTCGGTGGCACACACGCACTCCATATTCGTGTCCAAGGACGATTATCTTGCATTATCCCCTTCAGCCTTTTATAGCATGATTTTACAGTGTATTCCCCCTTCTGGTCCCAACACCAGAACCACGCGTCTGCAGGTTTTCTCACAGAAATAGGAATACTTAATATCAGTTTCGCATCTCGTTCATTAAAAGTATGAATGATCCTACCCAAATCTCATCCTGTACCTTGAGGATTCCAAAGCGATGCAACCGGGGCGGCATACACTTCTGTTGGCAGCAACGTAGACACATATGGATCATCATACGTAGGCAACCAAGCATGCGTTCCTATCATAGTATCCCGGCCGTCCCCAATACTACGCCTGCTTCCCTCTGCTATCACATGTTGTACCTCCAGCAATCCCCGCCAAATAAACGAAGGGTTACTGCCTGCACCTGCACTTAAATAATCACCATTAGGGTAGTATCGTGCGTTATATATTTGTGCTACCAACGAAGTTGGCTTAGTAAGTAGCCTCCAGGCCTGCTTACCAAGTAAAGCCAGATTCATCTCCCGCAGAGTTTTAAACCCCATGCCCCCAACTGTCTTCGGCGCAGAAAGATACGACCAAGCCCTCCACCGCAAGCCCTTGCCATTCCCAACTCGCCCAGTCCACCAAAACTCATTCATCAAAGTTTCTATCTTGGTACACAAACCCTTAGACAATAAGAACACCATCATCGCAAACCCCGGCATTGCCTGTACCACATTCTTTAACAACACCTCCCGTCCAGCCCTCGAAAGGAACTTAGCATTCCAACTCCTCACCCTCCCCAAAATCCTTTCTTTCAGAAACCCCAAAATCTGGGATTTATTCCTCCCCACTAGCGAGGGTAACCCCAGGTATCTTTCTAGTCATTAAAAAAACATATTATTATTTGTTTGATACAATAACGGTGATGATCTTATCTATATATATTTTTAAAAACATAGTCATCTGTTTAAAAAATTGATACAGATAATATAATATGAAACCATTACACCATTACAACATTAATAATTTAATACTCCGTATATGTCTGTTAATAGAGATCTCTCACAGAATTCAGGACAAAACATTCTTAAAAACCTTAAAACTTAAAAAATATGTTATCATCTTCATCATCACATAATCAACTAGAAATTTGTCTGGCAGGCAAATGGGCTAAAATTATCATTAACTGTGATTAGACACATGACAAGACCTTAAGCCATCTGTTCAACTTTCTTAAATTTCTTTCGAGTTAATACCCAAAATCATCCTCGACTATAGTGGTTTTTCTCAATTTCGTCCTAAACGACTTTGGTGACCTAATATCGTCCCAGACTTTTGTGTTTCACGCAATTTAGTCCCAGACTTTTGTGCTTTTGCTCAATTTAGTCCATCATTTGTTATTCTGTCCATTTGGTGTTAAATAAATAGACAATTAAGTAATTTTAATATTGACATCTCTTTACTCATAGACATGTGAACTGCGAAATCCCTTTTTTTTACGTATTACTCCTAGAATTACTCCTAAAACTGCGAATATAAAATTTGATTTGCAGGTCCGGGAGTAATTCTGGGTGTAATTCGTACAAAAAGAGGAATTTCGCACTTCACAAGTTGAAAGTAAAGAGAGATCAATATTGACATTACTGAATTGTCCCTTTATTTAACACCAATTTGACGGAATAACAAATGGAGGACGAAATTGAGCGAAACACAAAAGTCTGGGACGATATTAGGTCACCAAAGTCGTTTAGGACGAAATTGAGAAAAACCACTATAGTCGAGGACGATTTTGGGTATTAACTCAATTTCTTTCTTTTCAAAGAGTTCTACTACATAGACTCCCAAAATTCTACTCCCTCATTTATACTCCCTGAGGTGGCAGTCCAGAATTGGTTATTTTCATCATGTGGGTCCACAGGAAAATGTCTACATCAAGAGCATGTGAGAAGGAGTATAAGTTGGGAGTTTAAAATGGGAGTACACCAAGTATTTTCCCTTTTCAAAAGCCAGATTTTTTGGTTTCACCCGATTGTATTTCGGACCATATTAACCCGTCCTTAGATCTATGAGAAGGTACAACGAACTAATCTAATTTCGAGATTCAATGCAAAGGCATTTTTTTTTTTTTTTTTTTTTTTTTTTTTTTTTTGTATAATCGAACTCTACCCTATCGTTAAGGACAAGTTATTCTAAGTGAGGTTTCTCATCCACTCAATTAATTTCCAGGAGGTTCTTGATTTTAATTTCATGATGTTTTTAACAATGATATCTTGATAGAATCGTCGAAAATGGGAAAAGTGGAGTAGAAAAGATTAATGAGGAGTGGAATATATGGAATGCCGAAAGTGATGATTGAGTTGAAATATGAAGAGTGATGGGTGATGAGAGAGGTCATATATTCCAAGCTTATCTCTCTTGATCTCACTCTTTTTTCCAGGGAATAGTTGACAATCATGCCCTCATGATTATTACATGAGAGTTGACTGTTGACTTGATATATGCAGAACATCAAGGGTAAGAATTGAATTCATGAAGAAAATTGAATTGAAGCCCATAATCAAGCTTGTCTACTATATAATGCCGGCTTTAATGGCGGCTTCCTATTCCATGGTGTACGAACCTCATGGTGTGTTGTGACTTACCGACATAGGCTCTTGGGACTAGCTAGGTTGGTTTGCAATTTCACTGAATCACGGGATGAGTGTGAAATTTTATATATATATATATATATATATATATATATATATATATATATATATATATATATCGTTCATGGACGTGTGCACGTCGACCCAAATATTGTGGATTCACACCTGCATACTATATTGGATGTGTGCATTGTCGTTCACGGATATGCGGATTGTCGTCCACGGATGTGTGTACACCCGCATTTAGGTGTGTGCACGGTATATGTCCACATGTTTGTATTTTAAGGGTGTTGCATGTGAATGCAACCATAGGGTTGCATTCACATTCAAACACCCTTAAAATATAAACATGTGGACATATACCGTGCACACACCTAAATGCGGATGTGCACATATCTGTGGATGACAATGCACACATCCAATATTACAGAATACAAATATTTTTTCAACATACATAGAATTTAGGTTATTGAGCCAAATTGACTACTTTATAACTCCATCAATATGATTGAGATAAATTGAAAAATACAATTTCACTACCCAAATCCATTAAAAAAGAAGTCATGCCAAATTGAATCAATATCAAAAGCTATCTCTTCCCTATGATGAATCTCCATCACAAGATCAAAAGTAATCTTGAATGGTGGGTGGAATGACAGTTAGTACCGGCTGCTTAGGAAAAAAAAAAAAAAAATCCATGCATAAGCCAAAACAACCATATAGTACCTGACAAAAAATAAATAAATAAAATAAAATAAAAATGTGCCATAAAGTTTATCCCTAGTACTAGGTTAGTACCAGTGGTGAATTTGGAGTTGAAAGAATTGAAACATATACAAATAGCAGACATGACTCATTTCGCACGCCTCATTGATGCAACATTTCCGAATCATTCAAACCTAGTCCCCATCATTTGACACTTTAATTTGAAAGATATATAATTGTGTGCAGTGGTAGTTCATAGTTTATATGTTTGGCGGCAGACGCAGAATTTGACAATAGTGTTTTCGGAAATAAAAAGGGTATATTATACGCTAACATATTGATTATTGTGTGTCTTATATGTTATTGGAAGATAATAAGTGCTAGGGTAATTTGAATTTAAATTGGGTTTCTTGAGTGGGTTAGGGGTCTGGGGCAGTGCTTTCGTAGTACGGTACAATGATAATTTTGTAAATATATCGATGACTATTTATAAATTTGATGTGTGTAATCATGGAGGTAACTGTAAGTATTTTCCTATATAATATAATATAGGTCTCAGATCAAGTGAATTCACCTCTTTTCATGAGTTCGTGTGAACATATTTGATCTATTAAAAACTAGAGATCAATGGCCAGATCCGACCCATTATCAACTATGCTACTGTGCAACTGTAGTTGCACAGTTTATAATGGGTTAGATCTGTCCACACGGAATTATGAAAAGGGGTGGACTCATTTGATCATGAATCATATAATATATTATATTCATTAAGTGGTTGTACTTGTGTGGTACAAGTGAATGATTTAGTCAACTAGGTAATTTAGATATTTAATTTCACTTTAACTTAATATCTGTCTATAATGTTAGCACATAGGCTTCTAAGCAAAATGGTCCTCCCGCAGTTCCTATAATTAGAATACACGCGCAATCTAGTATTTAAGAGAGAAGTACATGGTAGACAAAAACGACTCATGTTACTAGCTTTGCAGGTTTACCATTCCAAAAATAATTTCATCAACTATGGCGAAAAATATACAAATATCCTAAAACTTCAAATGTTACGAGGTTAAACTCCAAGTGATTTAAGTATTATAAAGTTTCAAAAAAAAAAAAAAAAAAAGTATTATAAAGTTTGATCTCAACAAATTTTTGTACCATTTTGAACTTTGTTTCTAAGTGAATAGTATATAGCTTGGGGAGAGGCTTTTAAGTCGGCCAACCCGTGTTTTTTTTTTGGTCTCCCGTAATCTTGTTGTTATTGAATACTCAATTATCACAACATTTCCGGATCTAAAATCCAAAAGCATATATGTATATAATCTAAAATTATATATTTGTAGGAGAAATTTCTTCAAAAGGTTAGCTTAAGGGCCCTCCACCCATCCACACCAGTTCCGCCACCGGATATGTTTCTTTTATGAACATGATGACGCCTGAAAATCAAGAATTCATAGCTCTAGCTAGATGACATTCATACTACATACGACTTATTTCAGCGTAGGGGTGCCGACATTGAAATGCGCCAATTTTTATTTTTTTTTAATTTAATTTGTGATCAGGAGCGGATCTAGAAAACTATCTGAGTGAAGGTGAAATTTAAATGACTTTGGAAATGTCAATGACAAAATATCAAACACTTATGATAAGGTTCAAAAACAAAATACATTATAAATAACAGTACAATGTTTTTTTTTTCCAGTGTACCCAGGATCAGGACCGGATTTTAAGCTGTGCAAGCTGAGCTACCGCACAGGGCCCCCAATTTTAGAGGGGCCCCAAATTTTAGAGGTCTAATATTTAATTTTTACTTAGCTAGTTTAGAAATAAAAATTAAAAGTTTTCAATTAAATTTTAAAGGTTTCATGAAGAGATGGTAAGAATGTGTATTTATTGTATTTTAACTTGGAGGTCAAAGGTTCGAATCTTACATGTATTTGTTTTAAAAATTATGATTTTGGTAGGGCCACATGTATTTACCAGAACAGGGCCACCAAAACTTAAAATACGGCCCTGCCCAGGATTTTCCCACTCCATACCCAAAGCAAAGGATTGAACTTTTGACCTTTGGTTAAGGATGGTTAAGCCCCTTTCACTCAATCCCAGGTTGCAATACAATGTTTATGATAAAATACATGATAGTTAGGGGTAGAGTCATAAATATACTTGAGTACCCCTAACTATCATGTTATACTTGAGTATTTGGGGTAAGAAATATACTTGAGTGGGAAATTTTTTATAACAACTTGAAATGTTATAAAAATATTTATGACAAAATATGAAATATAATCAATTAGATAAAATAGTTTTAGAAAAAATAGTATATTCATAAATACTTTTTAATTTTAATTTCTTTTAGTTAGATCAACTTTAAATTTTTTTATTAAAAAATTAATTTGAATACTATAAAGTATAATATAAACTTTTATACTATATTAACTAAATGATTCATAAAAAGTAGACTGAAATTTTTTTAAATTTGTCTTGTGAAGGGATGAAAGAGTTAAAATAAAGGAGATCGAGAAGCTAAATTAAGCTAACAGAAAGTGTAAGAGTTAAAATAAAGGAAAGAAGCTAAATTAAGCTAAGGGAAAGTGCAAGAGTTAAAATAAAGGAGATAAGCTAATTAAATTAAGCCTAGTGAGATTCAAATTTCAAACCCATGACATATGATATTTGATATCAAATTTAAAGTTCGAACCAACTATACTATTCAAACATTTAGCAATTTGGACTTTATATATAAGTTACTATTATATATGTTGATGTGGTAAATTTCACTGGGTATTCGTATATTTTATTGAGTAGAGAGTATCTGGTTATAAGGGCTCGGGTAATTATGATCGAAGGCTGGAGATTCCCGAGCACATAAATATCCTAGAGAGAGAGCCAAAATTCCTTTCTATAAGCGTCTAACGGGGATATTTATAAGAGATCGGAAGAGACACATGTCGGGATGCCGGCATGTACGCCACGTGTCCTCCGTACACTCGGTGCTCACGAAGGCCTACGGAGAAGCTTACACGTGTAGAATCATATCTGAACAGCCAATAGTTATTGGGTTCAGTTATCGATATGCATCTTTAGGGGCTTATAGCATGGGCTCGGAATCCCAACCGATCAGCCAGATCCGGGCCGAGCACAAAACATTCAGAGCAGAAGCTTGCTAAGCCACTCGTCTTCCTAGTTCCCTGGGTCGGGTCGGTTATGGCCCAGTTCATGCCGGGTCAGGTTGGAAATGGACCTCCACTATATATAAAAGGGCGTGAAGTCGTCTCAATACCAGCAAATCGAGCAATGGAAGCAACCTAAGAAAGGGCTACCCAATTAATGTTTGATAAGGAGTCAAAGGGAAGCCGTAAGCCGTTTAAAGGGGAAAAGAACTAGGAGTCAAAGGGAAGCCGTAAGCCGTGAGTCGAAAAAGGTTTGGAGTGTGAGCCGTCTAGCTAGGTATCTTAAGAGGTGACAATGATGATATGATATCGCATCGACTTCATAAAAGATTATGGAGTGATTCTTAAGTTGAGACCAAACATCTATCTACTCTTGAATTAACTTTTATGGTGAAGTTATGATCTTGACTTGAATAGCATACTGCATACCATCTTTCCACACTTGAATAGTGTTATTTGCAAAACTTTAATTCGAAACCTTATTCAAAATGAACTAAACACATCCTATTTGTTAAATCATCATTAATCATATCATTAATTTTAAGGTCATGTGCAAGTGACAGAGACTTTGAACCTCAACTCTTAATCATGGTGTATGGGTTCAACTCTTTTACTAGAGGTCTAGAGGTAATCATTGATCGGTCTATTTTGATTTTTAAAAAAAATCATTAGTCATTGATTTGAGCCGTGCTACATGTAACGGGTTAGGTCGACCGGATTTAACGCAAGTCACAAGCTCGGAATTTTGGCATCATTGAGACTATGATTTGAAGAATTGCCAAATGAAAATGACTAAAAATGGGGTATGCAACTAGCGTTAGGTACATGCCTAAGCTACTTGCCCTATTGAGAGTATCCACAACAGTAATTTTTTCTTAATCTTTTATGGGGTCCTTTATGATGCGGAGGAAAGAAAAGAGAAAAAAAAAAAAAAACAATCGAAAACAGTTACAGCTGTGCGCGTTTCGCTCATAGCAAACGCTTAATCGGGCGCATGCAGTGTATGCGCCAGCTAACGCGTTATGTTTATCTTCTTCTTTTTTTGGACGTCAACTTTTTTTGTTTTTTTTTTTTTTTTGTTTTTCTTCTCTTTCCCACATCTCTCACCTAATTAGATCATCATAAACCGTGAAAAAACTAAGCTGATGGTGATGCTATGAGGAATTTGATTTGACTATTGAGGCTTTTTTTAAAAAAAAAATATAGATCAGATTACCTTATTTCGCTGAACTCCTTGATCAACTCGTACCTAAATTTATGAGAATGGTAAATTACATCAATCTAATTTCAAGACTCAACATTAAACTGTACACTTTTATGCACAATGAGTTTGATCTCAAACCTATTTGAAAGACATGCAAGCATCTTTTTGCCACAACATTTAGCAATAATTTGCGCAATTGGTCTACATTCACAAGGTTTGTTATGGAATTCTATACAATATTTAATTTGGTTTCTTATAAGTGAATATAACTACGTTATATTATACCAAAATAGATATATTTGTGTATCTATCCATGTGAATATGTATGATTTTGCAATCATTGTACAAAATACCTTAAATATTGTATTTTTCATATTCTAATAATCATTTTTTTTGTGTGTGTCATGATTACTATTTGATAGTATATACTAGATAAACTTAAGGGTTAAACTGTATTGAAAAGATTATGTGCGATGAGTTCGACCAAAAAAGTATTAGGAAGAATTAAAATCATAACTTTTTGATACGAAAATTATGTTTCAGACACTCAACTACCCTTTTCGCCACTACAATAATCATTATTGATTAGTTAGCATACATTGGACCTTATAGCACATGAAACAACAACCGAACTTGTCGCAACAACAGCGACCAACGTAACTCTTAACAATTATTCAAAAGAACATCAAATTATATTAAACACTTTCAAAACCTCGAAACATAAAACATTGTATGTTTTACAATATATATGCTTATTACACTTACCATACTATGTTCTATCCAACTTCCCAAAATTGATGGTTACAAATACAAAACTAATATTTAATGTGATAACAAGTATAGTAATAAATGGTTGAGTTCACGTGAGAACAGACTCTCAAGTGAAAAACACGAATTAATGTTAGTCATCGATTCAAGATGATCAACGACTCTAAAGTAAGGAAAAAATTACAGTAATATTTTGGTAAATAATTCAAAATTTTAAAAGCTAAAAATTCACCAAAGTGCAATTGCGCGTCTTGAGTGCAAATTATATCTTACTGGACTCACTTTTAGAGTCGCAAATGTTGAGTGCACTTCCATGTATCATCAGGTGTACTATGTAATTTTGCTCAGTGCACTTTGCATTTATGCTTAATGAACTTTAAAGGTACGTGCACTTTATAAAAAGTTTGTACGGTAATATTTACCAAATTGTGATGAGTGTGTTTCCCGTCACTTTAGAGTCGTCGATCGTCCCATATCGACAGCTAATATTAGTCCACATTTTTTTATGGGCATGGTTCTCACCTTATCCTATTCTTGGTAACAAATCATAAGGGGTATTTGATGCTTGGGAGTCGCAATCAATTGCAATCTCTCCCTAGTGAGTTGCAGCTGCCATGGCCCTGCCCATCACGGCAGGTCTAATGGGTGTCACGTCGGCATAAATCAGTGGCCCAAAGTTGTGAAGGAATCTTGTCACGATGGTGGCGCTGGGCTCCGCCACCAGATTCTCCCACAATTCCTCCGCGTCTTCGCCGCCGCCGCTGCAGCGGCGCCGCCGGAACACTTCCGTGGCGTCCACCCGGTGCAACTTCCACCCCTTCACGTTCCTGAGGCGTTTGATCTTCTCCAACTGCCGACGGGCCAATTGGCACGTGTTGATTTTGACGGCGTCGATGGCTTCTCCTAGCAGCCTGGCACGTGTGTCGGCGTCGGCCGTGGATTCCGCCCGGAAATAGCGGTGGAATTCTCCGACGCCGATGGCTTTCCTTAAACCCCTCGAGTAGTCCGCATTTCGCGGGTTGAACATCTCCCTCGCCTCCTCGATCATTCCCTGCTCCACCATCCGATCAACGCGCTCCGACACGAACGCGTGCAGCACCGGCATCGCCACGTCAACCCACAAAAACATTACATCGTACATTGACGAAAACCGGCAATCGCCGCCGCCGCCGCCGTCCACCAGCGCCTCGATGAACGAGTTCGACCCGCCGGCGATGATCGGCAGGTGGCCGCGCCCGGCTATCGACTTGATCGTGCGCGACGCCATGCTGCAAAAATTCGCCGCCGTGAAATTCTTGGTCGGCTCGATCACGCCGAGGAGGTGGTGGGGCACGTCGCACCGCTCCTCCTCCGTGATCTTGTTCGTCACTATGTCCATTCCCTGGTACACCTGCATTTTATCTGAGTTCACCACCTCCGCCGGGAACCGGGTGGCGAGGTCGATGGAGAGTCTTGATTTTCCGGCGCCGGTAGCCCCCAACACCACCACAACTTTCCCCTTCTCCGGCCGCCGCTGCAGGATTTGCAGGTCAATCCCTCCACTTGGAATGTGCAACAAAGGCAATTTTTGTTTGCACATTAAAGTTGGCACTAATCTCATCGTCATCATAGATCTTCAATTCTCGAAATTCTCACAATATCTATTAATTTATGTTACTCTTAACTTATCTTTCAGACTCTGCAACAGCGTTACTTTCACACACTGCAACAACGTTGCAATAACGTTACGAAACAAAGTATAACAACCTTATAAACTGATATCGAAATTAGAATTAGAAGAGAGAGGATGTGAAATTAGGTAGCTAGGCAAGATTAGAGGAACAAGTAATCAATGATGGAGTGATGTCAGCTATCAATGGAGGGAAGAATGGAGTTGAAAGAAAAGATGCATACAATAAGGTATGTTGTCAGAAGAATGGAAAGAGGAGAAATATGCAAAGAGTATTAGAAGTGATAAAATTTTTGTTTAGCCAAATCAGGTGGGGGATGAGTATTTATAGTATATTTTTGGAGACATTCAAGTAATTAAAAGCTAGCAAGTAGGGCCTTTGTTTTACTTTCCTATGTATATAATAATAATATATAAATTATACATGTGATTTTAGTCAACTGAGACTGTATAGTAGTACTTCTGTGAACAAGTTGAATTTTTTATTTTTTATTTTTTGTTTTATTGTTTGAGTCAAGACAGAAACTCGTAATCTCATACAGGAAAGATATAGTCGATCAAAAATCTGTGTCATGAAAATCATGTTCATCAATTTACTCGATCACCTCTTTCGACGTTTGTTTTTCATATTATACCAATATTTGATGGTCAAGTTTATTTGCATATGAATTCCTAATATCATATTTAAACGACCTAAATCCCTTATACTTAAATTTATAGATTCGGGTCAATTAGACATTTCTTTTTCCTTTAATTAGTAGGCAACCATAAGAAAATCGATTAGGAGGGGATGGGGTGAGAGACTACGATTATATTAATATAAGAAAATTTTACAATGTTATACAATATGATATCATAGTTTAATAGAGAAAGAAGACATTGAAAAAAATTCATGTGATGTTTATAATTTTTATTGTTGATTTAGGTAACGGCTAATATATTATAAAGCATTATACCAATTACCAATGAAATTTTCAAAACAAACGAATTAACGAACACACAAAAGTAAAGAAAAGGAGTGAATAATTTTTTAAAACATTTTAGACAATGACATTTTATCATCTTTATAAAAAGTTTAATTATACAAATAAGAATCCATACTTTGCATTGAGATGACCGACCTTTAGAGAAATAGATAATATTTTAGAATAGTTAGTAAGTGAACTACTAATACAACTACAAAATCAAAAGATCAACTTTGATATATATTGCGATGTTAAAAAGTGTATATATAATTTGTGAGGACAAAACAACTAGTTGGGAGTTGACAATGGATCCAAGATAGAAAGATAGTGAACAAAAAGTGTCTCTTTTCTAAGGTGGGATTACTACTTTAAGTGGTTATTGGTTTGTGGTACATATACAAATTGGCAAAGAATATAAGTTAGAGTATCTTATTCTAGGGGAATTTCATTTCTCCTCTCATTGGCTTCATTTGTGGGGAGATCAAAATATATATATACATATATGAGTGATCCATGATGCTTTTTAGTGTTTTGCCCTCAATTTTTCTACTCAAGATAATATAAATAAATTCTCTTGAATTCTCTCCATCACAATATAATAAATATAATACCAAACATTATATCATAAATTTTGTTTTGCTAGCCGTCCTTGACCAAATGTAGTATTATAATCCTACTAATGACCCAAAAAGGAGATTTGAAATTTGACATTGTTATAGGCAATAGTGTACAAACATTTGTGAGCATATTAGCTACTTGAAGCACATCTCCTAATTTACATCGTCCTCCGATCCACCAGTCTTCAGGGTAGAAACTATGAAAGTTTATTTTTTAAATTTTGGGTTTAAACTTATTTCTAGGTCCTATTTGGTAAAATATTTTGCTCATCAGTCAATTTTGACTTATTTGACCACTATTGGTTGTTTGACTTAGTTAAAAAATCAATATAATTAAGTGTTTGGTTAATCAGCTTTTTGTAACTCCAAAATGTTAAAATTCAAAAAGCTACTCAAAACAACTTTTTCAATTAGCTTTTTGAGAAAATAAATTATACCGAAGCTATCAGCTAACAGCTAATTTACTAAATACCTTTCTACAATCAGCTAGTGTTATCAACTAGTCATACCTTCTAATAGCTATCAGCTAACCGTCATTTACCAAACAGAGCCTATAATACAAAACATCCACATGTTCTTGCCAGCTACTTTTATTTATTTGATTTTTTTTTTGTTTTAATTTGAAATTGAAAGGTGTTCAATTCATCTTGCTATGACTTAAAAGAGAGAATTTTTTTTATATATAAAAAATGATATTGATATAAAGGGCAAAAAGATCTTATATTATAGGGTATAATAAGTATATATTGTTCCTTATATAAGATCTTATATTCATTCTCCATGTCTCTCAAATAAAACAAAAAAAATATTCCCTAATTCCACACGAACTGACATATTTACTTCAAATATATGCTTTAAAAAAAAAAAAAAATCTACTTGATAGTGCAGATTAAATCAAAGTAGGCATCTGGAAAATTCACACTATGTAGAGACGGTATATTTTATTACTTATCTAATTACAAGTTATGCATGTTAAGGTACAAGTACAAATTAAATGCATGAGACCAGAAAGTCAGACTAAAGTGGTCGAATTGTTCCAATGAAGTAGATACAAGAATGTAAAGAGAACAAATAGAGAGATGAGATATGAAATGATTCAAAATGTAGGACCACTACCCAAAAAAAAATTAAAAAAAAAATCAAATTTTGACTATAATTTTCGTTATACTCTACTACATATTAATGGTGGTTAATTAGAAAGTTTAATAATCAGCTTGGTTGGTGTGAGTGGCCTGCACTCTCCTGTGGAAACTTGTTCACCATGCGCATGGTGAACACAAGGGTAGATTCATTTTTTTTTTGAAAACGTAGATTTATAATTTTGTTTTTCATTTGTTGTTACAGATATTATGAATCAACAGTACAAAAATTATGAATCCACAGTATAGAAATTATGAATCTACAGTATATAAATTATGAATCTACAGTACAGAAATTATGAATCTACAGTATACAAATTATGAATCTATAGTATAAATGTTATGAATCTACAGTATAGAAATTATGAATCTACAGTTTAGAAATTGTGGATGTATCTCGTTAACAACAAATGAAAAACAAAATTATGAATCTACGTTTAAAAAAAAAATTATGAATTTACAGTATAGAAATTATGGATCTACCCCTGTGTCCACCATGCGCATAGTGAACACGTTTCCACAGCATAACTATTCGAGTTCAAACTCCCTCTCGTATAAAAAAAAAAAAACCAATCTAACCAACATTTTGCTCCTTAATTGGGCTGATTCGGTGTAAATAGGAACTAATGTGAATATTGTACGGGCTAACTTGGGTTTGTCGGTCGGGCAAAGAAGAATTTCCTAATGAAATTCGGTCCTCGATCGATCGGAGTTACTTAGAAATTAGAATTGAATTGAAAGTGTGAAAAGGCTTTCTAATTTTGTTGGCTACAATTTGATCATATAATTTCCGATCCTTTAATGCTGAATTCTATCGATCATTTCGAAAATTAAATTCGTAACTACTAAGGTACGAGGAGAGAAAATGGTGTTGTCTGATAACGTGTTTTGGTCAGTACGTCGGCTAACTCGGCAATCGGTACGGTCTATCTCCCCTACTTCAATTCCATATTAAATCAATGAAAACATATAACGTTATGCAGCATTTCGTCAGGTCGAGAATATGTTTAGTCTACCCGCACGGGCTTAGCTCAATGATTTAGTGAGCAGTATTTGGGGTAAGAGACCAAGGTTCGAATTTCGGCGACGGTAGTGTGGAAATTATGTTCAAAATGGGCAAATTCCTTGTGCGCACCGACATTTGGCCCTGCCTACTACCCCATTGAGACATCGTGATTCACATGCTCTGTCGGGTCGAAGTGTGGGGGACCCTTAAGGTTGGGGATTCAGCTTTTTATGGTAAGAGAATATGTTTAGTCTGTCCTCTGTCCCCTAATACGGCTTACTTCTCTTGTATATATGATTTGCGTGTTATTAGGCAAGAATGAAATTTATCATAAGCATACTTTTCAATAGTAATAACTATACAATTTAAAAAAATTATGAATTTGCAGTATAAAAATTATAAATCTACTGTATTTAAATTATGAATCCACGATTTAGAAATTATGAATCTACAGTATAGAGTTTATGAATCTACAATATAAAAATTATGAATTTACCGTATAGAAATTATACATCTAGCACTACTGGAAATTATGAAATTTTCAACCACCTGAAAGTAATCTTAAATCGAGTCGAAAGAAAAAAGTGGTTGGAAATAGCAACAAAGATTTTTCCGAATACCAAAAGTAGTCGGAATAAGGCTTTCGACTTGATTTAAGATCACTTTCAGGTGGTCAGAAATTTCATAATTTCCAGTAGTGTAGACCCGTGTGCATCATGCATGGTGCACACAGTTGCATAGGATAACAATCCCAATAATTAACATTTAAGCTGCACTAAAACCCTATAACTCCGGCTTCAAAAAAAAAAAAACAAAAAATACCCTATAACTCCAATACAAGAGTTAGCCCATTTGTGAAGGAATCAACGCAAAATCGTAGTGTTTTTCTCAAGAACAAAAAGTGAGGGGTTTACCCGAGTGGGGGAACAAGCAACATCGTTTTCTGCTAAGATTATGACACGACATGGTGGCTTACAACTGCAAAAATAGACGACCCTAAGAAAGACACCTGGCCAGCTAGCTAGTTTAAACTTTAAAGAGCCACCATTTTTATGATCAAATGATGATGCAGAAATTACACTTTGATGATAATTTCCAGACTTATATATATATATATATTCCCATATATTCCAAACCCAGTACGATCTGATCAGTTCTAAAGAACAAGAATGAATGGGATCAAGAATGATAACATATTCCGACAAATTAAAGCAAAAAAATCTCAAAATCTCATGTAATATGATCTGATGGAGCTGCAGAAATACAGTGTACTTTGCAGAATAAACAGGACAAGAAAAAGGGTAATGTGAAAGACAGGTGATATGATCAGACAGTAAGTTAAAGTACATGCATATATATATGGTTGCTGCAAGTTGCCATTTTTATGGTGTCTGGATGGTGGATGTAAGCCCAGAATCAGTCCGAAATGCAGGAAAATGTACGCACTGCATTTTGGTGACAGAGGTAAAAAGCCGAATATATGTTCTTTTTGGAGCAACAAGGAAACATGTAGTTACTACACGACAATAGTACACTGTATATAGAGTACGTAAATTTCGCCTTGTAATCCTAACTGAAAAAAAAAAAGATCACAAGGAAATAAATTAAACCAACATATTCGTAGCTGTGCACTAGATAAACTCCATATTGTGATCCTAGCCAACAAAGGATTATAATTAAGGAGGTAAACCAACCTAGCTAGATTACCCATAGTCGCACTAGATAAACTCAACCTTGTGATCCTAACCGACCAGGCCACCAGGAGGTAAACCAACTTAGGTTGCTATAGTTACATTGACTGGCTGGTCAAACTAAGAAGGCCAATAGACCGCTATCGCTTAGAGTTATAACCTTATGGCGGTTACTAAGTCAATTATGACTAAGAGCGAGCATCATCAATATGTATGGATTTTGAGAAGTTTTTACAAGAGTGATTAGGAGAAAGAACATGCAAGAGAGAAGGGAAAGAATAAGAAAAAACTGCAAATGAAATAACACGCCCAGAGGGTGCATGGAGTCCATGCACTCGGCTGGGCGCTCCTTATGCGCATAACACGCACCTAGGAGCAGTTTCACTGTTTTGGTGGGGTCTACATATCTGACAAAAATCAAGATGTCTCCGTAGAGACCTAAATTACTCTCTCTCTTCCACATAAGATTACATTTTCTCAAAAATCATGGCAAAGTCTCTATTGGAGATGCTCTAACTTAGTTGGAGTTGACCATACAGGGCACAGAATATATGTTTTTGTTGCATGTGGAGAGGTGATATAAGTCAGCTGGCATGCATCCATGGCCAAGTTGCATATGAAAAGCTTTCATGGATGAAGGGATTGAAAGCTACTGATGCTGCAGAGTTCCTGTCAATCAGATCACCACATAAAGCAACGGGCATCAGATCAACTCAAAGTTCTGCACAATATATGCTTCTCATCTGTAAAGTCGACACCTGGCCTGCATCTTCTTGGGAAATCGTCGCCGCCGGCGTGAGTTTGGATGAGTTTTCCGACGGCATCGAGAGATTCCGATGAGTTTTGTCGGAAAACTAGGTTTACAGAGTACGGACGTACGAGATATATTCCAATTTCCAACCAATTATTTCTGTTGGAAATTTCGTTGGCATAGTGATTTATCAAACATGTGACGATGTAGTTGTAAATCATTAAATTAAAATTTGTTACCATCCAACACATGTAATGTTTGTTTATAGATATAGAATCATAATGACGACCGAGAAATAATTTCAAATTGAATTCCAATATGGGAATGTTTTGTAAAGCAGATGAAACAAGGAAAAGCAATTCATTTTTACTATTTGCATAACCACGGCTTGGATAGAGACGTGTTATGTAAAAATGTAATTAAATTTGAAAATATGTGTATAATACTAGGTAAATAAGTTATACTAATAACGATTAGAGGTAATGATTGATTAATTATAGTACAGATATAATACGAGTTAATGATTGGATACTAATGATTGATATTTAGTCATTATATTAATAACGATATGTAAATAAGTTATGATTGCTAGTGATTTTTAAACTGTTAATGATTATTAATGATTTGTGATTATACCATATCATTATTTAATCATTGGCTACAAGTAAAAATTATTTATTAATATTTTTATTAACTAATGAATAATTATTAACAGTAGAAAGTTAAAATAATAGATGTATTATATTACAGTGGAAGATAAAACATTTGATATTGTATACATATATCATTTTCTTGCATTTAAGGAGTTAAGATCGCCGTACACATTGTCATGAATAGAATATCTAATTGTTCATGGAATATTATCAATTTAACAGTTACCAATAACCAGCATGAGTACGACGTTCTCCCGTAAATAGAAGTATACAACATCATCATTTTCATTAATGTGGAAATATCCGTTATTTGTTCCCACTGTTCTGTGTAGAATGTTTCATCAAAGTAGAGTTCTAGCCTTCTATCTCCAACTATGATTTCGAGCGGCCCATTGAACATGTCGGAGTCGCTGAGAAATGAGCACAATCGTTCATGATAGCATTGACTAAGAAGATATTAGTAAGTAATGGCATCGCTTGGATCACAAATTGAATGTATATAATTTTCTTTCCGCTCCAAATTTAGAGAAATATGTATACAAAGATCTACATTGCTCTAGTTTATTAAATCGAAATGTTGGTGGTATATAGTGTAATGTATGTAGTGTAGTTAAAAATATAACATATTTTTTTGAATGCTAATATATAGCTGCTATAGAAGAAAGTTTCACAAGTGAAGAAATTTGTATGTCAAATTAAGAAGCACAATGTCTCTAGGAAATAAATGATTTTTTATAATGAAATCACTAGTTCCCGTTGTAAAGTGCATGTTTTTTACGTAAACTTCTATTTCAAAGCCACAATGCCACAAAATTGTTGTTGTTGTCGGATGTTGCATTAGATGGCGATGCATACAATCGGGAATTTTTTATTAAGAAAATTATATTAAATGTAAGACCGGTGAATTGTATTGAATGTATTTTAAAATTTAAATATATAACATCAAAATTAGAATGCCATAATTACCATAGTTATTTGCAATCTAATTTGAATAGTGAACCACGTAATAATGCATTCACTAATACCGAGCAGATGTATTTGATCATTGCAAGCCAGTAAAAAAATGATAGTTAGACAGTAATTAGATAGTTAGACATGATAAAATTAACAAAAATGGACAAAAATAAAATTACTTACGTGATGGATAATTAATATCTTGTAGACGATCTAAGATGATCGAAGTATTTTGTTGTTGATGTACGGGAAATAAGTGGTGAGTTAACGGGTGAAATTATCGTTCCGCAAGATATTGGGACTATGGCACGTACTTGAGTGACAAATAAACTAAAGTATTGGAACCTACAAGAATCCAAGCAAGTTCACATTCATGGTTGGGCAAATGCTAAACTACTAGCAGAGGTTAAAAGTCTAATATAAGATAACACAATTGAAACACAAGAAAACACAATAATAAGAGATGGGCTCAAATTAGAGAATGTTGCCTTCTAGATGCTTTATTTAACAACTCAGGAGTATAGATAAACAGATACTACAATGTAATAGAATCAGTAGTACTCAAAACAACTCAGGGGATTAGGGAAGAACAAATAACTAAGGAGTCAAAAGGCAATTCAAACACATAAGAATCCTAACCTACAATAACTTCCGTGAGCAAATAAACAAGGATTAGAACAAGGGATTGCCCACTCTCGTGGTGTATCAATTCCTAACTCTTAAAGCACATAAGCAATATTTAGGTAGGGCTTGTCAAGGAAACAAGAGAGAGAGAAGCTTGTCAAGGAAACCGATTGTTATATCATGCACCGCGCGTCAGACACTACAGTGTGTCTAAACCGACACTGTCTCACGTATTATTTTTATATTATCAAATAAAACTACAGTTATATCAAAATGATACTGTAGTTGTGGTGAAATGAAACTACAGTATATATAAAATGAAACTGAATAACATTTCACATATTTGAGTGTATATTGTACAATGAAGCTGTAATTATATTGAAATGATCATGTAGTTGTGTTTTAATGAAATTATAATGTATATAAAATAAAATTAAATAACATTTTCACATATTTGAGTGTATAAATATTGAATGAAACTGTAGTTATATCGAAATGAAACTGTAGTTGTGTTGAACTGAAACTACAGTGTATACAAAATGAAACTGAAGAACAGAGTTATTTTTTGCGAATATTATATTTCTTTTCATTAAATAAAACGACGTCGTTTTGACAGTGTCGATTTAAACACACTGTAGTGTCTGACACGCGGTGCATGATATAATTTGCCCAAGGAAACAAGAGAGATAATGCAATAGGACACAAGTCCACAGCATAATTTGCCCAAAATCGTCCCATGGGCCTTGTGGGTCCATCCCAGCCCATAAATAGGGATGTTGAACCTTTATTCTCTTTAGCAATTGGGCCCAAAAAGGTAAAAACATTAAATGCCCATTTAACCAAAATCTTCCGCCTCCGGCCGCCGGCGCGTCTCCGTTGGGTTTGGAAATCGCCCTTCTCTCAGTTCTCCTGTCTGCTCCGACATTCACCTTTTTCAGTTTCTCCATTTTCTATTCCGCTTCTTTCATCACCTCATCAAACGACCCATTTCGGCTAGAAAATCAAGCCGTTCCGCTTTGCTTCAAAGAACGAGCCTTTAGTCTTCCCATAAGCCAGAAAGGTTGAACGATCATGGCGAGTTCTGAGGTTTTCCAGGGAGAAGAACATCTTCTTATGATGTTTTCACTCTTTGAGAACCCCAAAGGTGAAATCTTTACCCCTTTTTTCCCTGCTCCCCAAGTCACCATATCTCTCTTTTCGTTTAGGATTGTGATGAAGCTGTGATTGTTATTTTCATAGTTTGTTTCACTCGAGTTGAACAAGAACGAATCTTTTGTGTTTTTAGTTTTGAGCCCCCCTCTGCAACTTTCTGAAAATGTCAAAAGAAGGGATTTGGTGATGATTTTTTTGAGGAACCTGAAAATGTCAAAAGAAGGGTTGGGAGCGAATCAGTGAAGTACTGTTCTGCTAGCCATTTCAACTCTCTTGAATCTTGAAAGCTTCTCAGATCATGCCTGCTAGTTACTGAGAATACTAGCTAGGATTTTAGTTTGCAGATTGTTGTGTTTGGTTTTCAGCAAAAGTCTAGGATATAACCAAGTTTGGTTTTTGTTTGGAGCTTGAATCTCAGCTCAAGTTTGACCATGTTTTGTTTATTTGTTTGTTTTATATGTAAAATACATAGAGATCTAATCCAAAGATTCTTGAGTTTAACTCAATTAAGGGTGTGTTTGAAAACAAAAAAAAAATGACTTTTGTAGAAAACATTTTTATTTTCAGTGTTTTGTTGTATTCCAGAAAACTGTATTGGTATGTTTAGTTTTTTTTTTGAAAAATAAGTAAAATTGTATAATTAAACATTTTAATTGTTTTGTTTAGAATATAACAACATTTATAATATAATATAATATAATTGATTCCTATGCGTGACAATTCCCTTTGGATCAGCTCTTGTGCCTTTCGGAGTGAACAAGGTACACCTGGATCGTTTAATGGACAGAGAAAAACACGGACCACGTTGCGATTTACACCAAAAAAAATAATCATAAATAGTTTGAATATTTTTTAAGCTGATCTTAGTCAGCACAAGGTTTGGTCAACATTACTTGTTCACCAAGAGCCGTCAATTCCGACAAAAAGTACTAAAGACAGACTCCCACCAAAAAAAAACAAAAAAAAAACAAAAACTAAAGACAGACAGACAGTGCCACAGTGGTATATATATATATATATATATATATATATATATATATATATATATATAAAACGAACTGCTGTTCTGTCTGCACTCCATTATTCTGCTACTACAATGGCCAAGAAGCCGGTCAAATGCTATCTGGTAATTAACTTCTTCATCTATTTCCCTTAGCTTCTCTGAAAGTTTTACAGTTCTGTGATTCAGTCTAATGAAGTTTGTGTTACATCGATTAGGTGGATGTGTTCACAGACTCGCCATTCAAAGGAAACCCAGCTCTGGTTTGTGTGTTAGACGAGGAAGAAGAGAGGGACAGTGAATGGATGAAATCTATTGCTCGCGAGTTCAATGTTCCTATGACTTGTTTCCTCGCTAGAATCGACGAGCCCGACACTGCTGTCGTGAATCCCAGGTTCCACCTTCGCTGGTTCACTCCCCTCGCTCTTGAGGTCAGTTTAATCACAACGCCTTCCATTTTAAATATTTATTTATTTTTAAGACTATGGATCGCGTCGGAATTTAATTTTTATTTTAATCGGGCCAAGCTAGCTTGGCCTGAAATTAATTTCACTGACCAGCCATTTATATTGTGCACTACGGCGCACATAACAATGTGTGTCCAGATATAAAATGGGCACGTTTCAACGTCATTCCGTTCGTCCAAACAGTCCAAACTCCATTATGGGTATTCGATTAAAAGTTTTTGTGTATTGTATTATGAGTTTCTGTGTATTATATATCAGGTTAGATTATGTGTATTCAGTTATGAGTTTCTGTGTATTTAGTTATGAGTTTATGTGTATTCGAAACAGAAGATTTTTTTTTGGACAATGCACCAAAATGACGTCGTTTTAGGTAGAGCGGGGCGTACAATGCATTGTGCGCCCTGGTGCACGATATAACGACGGCCAGCTCGGTTTAGAAAAATGGACCAATGGTGGACTAGCCCAAACCGGCCTATTTGATATTGTAAACCTTACATTCTGACCTGAAAAGAGGATGATAAACCAATTTAAACTGCAAATAATTAACCTGTTCAAACTAAGAAGTCGAATGAACTACCTTTATAATAGTTGAATTTAAAATTTTGTGTTACTAGGCAATAACTGGACTAACTTGTTCGAGTTGTCCCAGATATAAGTGTTGTGCATTTGGCTGTGTGATTCATTAACATTAAGAATAAAATTTTCTCTCAAATATCACTTACTAAATCAGTAAGCTAAACTCATGGACAAATTAAGAATAAAGCTGCGTTGCAGGTGGAGCTATGCGGGCACGCCACTCTAGCGGCTGCGCATCATCTCTTCGCAAATGGTTTGGTGAGAACTGAGACGGTGGAGTTCTCCACACTATCTGGGGTTTTGACTGCCAGAAAGCTACCCGACGAAGCTGCAGCCGACGATAACACCTTCTATGTCGAGCTAGACTTTCCGATCATCCCCATTTCTGATATGAACTGCGCCGGCGACGACATTCCGGCCGCAGTTGCTAAATGCTTGAACGTGGCGGCGGCGTCTGTGGTGGAGATCAGCAGGACGGCCAAGGGCGATCTCTTTGTATGTATTCTTGATTATATTTCTTGTGCATGTGTTTCGTAGTACAGTACAGATCAAGGAGACAACCTCGGAACGAAAGGTTGACGACAACTGTACTGTTTCTCTGTCGTTCTCGCAGGTTGTTCTCCCCTCTGCGGATGCAGTTGTGGCTGCAGATCCTGACATGGATGAGATCAAGAAACTTTCAGGGAAAGGAATGATTTTAACAGGATCTGCTCCTTCTCAATCCGGATTCAATTTCTTCAGCCGCGTTTTCTGGCCAAAAATGGGAGTTCCAGAGGTACATGCATGTTAACCCGACCCAAAGTTGATTAGATAGTCGATTTGATAAGTTTTAAGTTTGACTTTTAAGGGGAGTTGTATAACGACCTTCTTGATTTGACTCGATCAGTTATGTGTTGATTTATCTTTTTATGATTTTTTACCGATTAAAGTCAACGGGCTGTTTAAGCAATTTTTAGTATAGTTGAGATATAACATGTTCTAGTAGGAGTTGTGGCAAGTATAATTATGCTAAAAGGTAACACATGTCTTATAAAACCTATTTTCTTTTGCTATAATATGATCTATTGGAATCCTTGAATAATGGAATGCGTTATCTGGTGATTATGCCTTGATAGAGCTTGTATTTAGGGTTTATATTGTGATTTCTTGACATTCTTGATGTTCTTGAGTGATTATATGCATATTCTCGTGTTTATGCATGTTTAGAGCTTGTGTTTAGGTTCAATAATGTTATGCTATGAGCTATTTCATGTATTCAAGTCCCTATTGTTGTTGATGTGAGTAATACCAACTGTAACACCCCCGGTTTTTGGATGGGGTGAACAGATCCCTTGTGCGCATAGATATTTAGCTTGCTGAGCTATTGAGTAACCTGATTTACATTCTCACAAATGCTCTATTAGGCCGGGATGTGCGAGTCTTGGGATTGGGGATTCAACCTTTAGGAGAAGAGATATAACATGTTCTCCAATTGGGTTGTTAAATGAATTTCTAAACCTTTTCAGGATCCAGTTTGCGGGAGTGCACATTGTGCGTTGGCTCATTATTGGAACAAGAAACTAGGAAAATGTGATCTTGTTGCTTATGCAGTATATTCTCTCTCTCTCACTCACTTTTCTCTATCAAATATAGTATATATAAATAATAAACGTGTAGTCTCACTATAAGTTAAACGAAACACCTTTCAATTTTCTCTTTTCCAAGGCATCTGCAAGAGGTGGGGTGTTAAAGCTGCATGTAGATGAAGATAAGCAAAGAGTGCTTATAAGAGGGAAGGCTATTGCTGTGATGGAAGGTTTGGTTTTGGTTTAGTATGGATCCAGGATGTATGTGCTACTCCTACTTGACAAGTAGGGAGCAAAACTTGTCATTGATGTATTTTTAGTTATCTGTTTTTTTTTTTTTTTTAATAAATAAAATGGAGGGGGAAACCTCAACAATCAAGTGGTGACAACCATGGATGGCTGCGAATTTCTTTAGCACACACCTTCCTGTGTGGTTTATGTTTATACTTGTATTGTTTGTGGGTTATTATACAATATTAAATGCAGATATTTAGATATTGATTGTGGATTTCTTTCGTAAAAAGAAGAGGAATAAATGTCAAATAGGCTGTCGAATTGTACGTAATAATGCAATTAGGTCACTGAACTTAAAAAACATATAATTTAATCAATAAATTAACCAATTTCATACAATTCATTCCATTTGTAGGTTCGATGACCTATTTGACCATTATTCAAAAAAAAAAAAAAAAAAAAAAAACTCCGTACTAAATGTACAAAATTTTGTATTTGATTAGTCAGTGTAAGGTCAATTAATTCATAAATAATAAAGTGAGGAGCTCCTTGTACGCAGTAAACAAAGGTATAACCTCTGTGTTCAACTAAACTATCATGATTTACATCCTCTCAGATGCTCTGTCGAGCTGGGGCTCGAGAACCATTGTGGTTGGGGATTCAACCTTTTGGGAACAAATTAATTCATAATAAATAAATAATATAATAATAAAAGATTGTGAAACTATGACTATGTATACACAACATTTTGTGAGCAAATAGTATTATTATTACTTTAACCAAGTTAAAATTATGAAGAAAAAAAAAACTACAATGCAAAAAATGCATCATGTTTACAATTATAAATAAAAAAGACAATCACATTTTTATATATAGAGTGGTAAACGACGTCGTAGGGGTGGCTGAAGAATGAAGATTAAAAATCCGTAGACCGCCCGATTCGTGCCCTAAAACCCCGTCTTCCAGACTGAAGAGGCTTTTGCGCTCTATCGCTTCGACATAGCCCTAGCTTCTCTGTTCTTACTCTCTCAACGATGAAGCTTGTCAGGTCGGTTTACTGATGCAAATCACTGTATTTCTTTTACACATTTCGATTCCGTATTTGGCTAACGCGTATGTTAACTGTTGTTTCTTGTTTTTGTTCTCTTCAGATTTTTGATGAAATTGAACAATGAGACGGTCTCGATTGAGCTCAAGAACGGAACCGTTGTTCACGGAACCATTACAGGTATTTCTCGTTAACACAATCTGTAGATGTGCATATTTTTGGATCGTATTGTCTGTCGCGTTCAAGGCTTGCGATCTGCTAGATTATCAAGCTGAATAATCTGTGTTTGAGTTTAAAACTTAAGATTATAAACTAGGTATTTATATACGGAGTATTGAGGTGGAGAAGATGAGCTTTGCTGAAGATTTTGAATAACGTCTTGACCTTTTACCAGTTTTTGAGCGGTTGCTAACTTGCAGTTTTCAAACTAAATTTTACTTTGAGTTACTTCTAATAGTTGCAAATGAAGTTGTGTACTGGATTTACTTTTGTTTCTTTACCGGCCCAAGGAAGCTTCTGAACTAAAAAATGAAGCTCAAGAAAGTGTTTGGTTAGAGTTTCTATAATTGAGCTTGATAAACGTTTGAACCAATGCTCCCGAATTGGGGAGGGGGTGGCAGTGTTTCCCTTATTAATGGGAAACAAAAGAAATGTAGCTGTTCAATAATTTATAGCATCGGGGACTGTTACCCAAATCCAACATGGAATCTTGATCTGATTGCCTTTGCTGAGTTGTATGTTGTGGTTGTGTTTGTAGGCGGAATAGTCTAGTGGATTAGTGGTTTAGTCAGAGTCACTTATTTCATGGTTTATTAGATTGTAATCTTGCATCAGATACTCACTAGGGTTGTAGTGTGCCCTTGCCACTTTTGTTTGCCAGAGAGAATGGATATTATATAGACAAAATCTTTGGTTTAGGTATCCTCTGTGATCTTACGGATTCCACATCAAGAATGAGGGACCAAAGTGTTTTGGTTGATTGATCTATGTGTGTTCACATATGGGCTCAACAAGGATGATGCAACCTTTGTCTAATATGTTTTTGGGTTTTGAAATATTTGCCTATATGCTTATCTTTTGTCATGGTTGAGTTGAGGGATGTGGGGTGTGTTCATAAACAAGATATATCCAATAATAACTATACATATGGATAAAGAGATTCATGTATACATTTTAGAGCTATGATTGTAAAGAGATTCATGAATCCATTTTTCTTGGATTCACATACTCCTAATGTACTTAAGAATAATCATTTCTAACGTGTTTCACATTTTTACAGGTGTTGATGTCAGCATGAACACACACTTGAAGACAGTAAAGCTTACTCCAAAAGGCAAAAATCCTGTGACTATGGATCACCTGAGTGTAAGGGGCAACAACATTCGCTATTACATCCTCCCCGATAGCTTAAATCTCGAGACTTTGCTAGTGGAAGAAACTCCTAGAGTGAAGCCTAAGAAGCCAACTGCTGGTACAGTTCTAATCCCCCTGGTCAACGCATTTGTTGGTTCAAACCATCACTTCACAAAGTTCTATGACATTATGTGCTTAGCTACTTCTAAAGTTGTCTTGCTTTCTTTGTCCATGTTCAGGAAGGGCAATGGGCCGGGGTCGGGGCCGTGGACGCGGGCGTGGCCGTGGGCGAGGCCGGTAAAGGCCTTTAAGTCATTCCCCATTTTGTGACAACATCTGTTTATGTAGACGCATGTATTCATGATGGAGAGTCTATCTCGTTATGTAGTTTAATAGCATGGAATGGATGCCAATCTGTTACTACTTTGAGTGGATTATGAGATTTTCTTTAGTATATCGCTTTGCTAATTAGTAATTAGAACTTAGTGGGTCAAAAACATGATAATCTGTTCAATCCATATGCTTTTTTAGTTCGATAATCTTAAGAAAGAGGTGCTTGATGGGGGTAAATTATGGTCTGCACGGTGATATGTGGACCATAACAAAAAGTACATTTTTAATATACTAAATACACATTATTTGTGTGTTAAGTGTACATTATATTATATAATGTATATTCTATACACAAATAATGTACATTCCCTGAATATAATGTACATTTTTAGTATATTAAAAATACATTATTTTACAATATATAAAATATGGTCCACACAATAATAATTACTTAATGGGTGGTTTTTTTTTTTTTTTTTTTTTTTTTTTTTTTTTTTTTTTTTTTAATTCAAGTTGAATTCTTTATAAACAATTCGTTTAAAAATAAAAATTATCTACTTCGATGCTAGTTATGGGTATAATTTTGAAATGAACTTCTGATTTAGTGATACGAAATAGTTCATATAGAAGGGGGTTCAATCTTTGGTAGGTTGAAAAAAATAGTTAAAAAGAGATACTACATTAAAATAGAAATAGAGTATTAACCAAAAAAACTAAAAGTTACAAATTTTAAGAATAATAAACTAATTTTATTTTTTTCTTGGTCACAAAGATATCTTTAAAAATGAGGCTATAAATAAAGATAAAGAATAGTGGGTAAATAAGATAGCGCAGCGGAAATCGTGTGTGAAGAGATAAAATGGGGGAGAGGGAGAAAAACTCGCTGAAACAAGCGGTGGTGGTTTTCGGAGCCCTAGCTGCCGGATGGCTAGCAATTGAGGTCGCCTTCAAGCCGTTGCTGGACAAGGCCAGAGCCGCCTTGAACAAGTCCGACCCGAATCACGACCCGGATGATGCACCCGAAATGTCGCCGCTGGAAGCGGACGTCGACGCCGCCGACGACGCCTCCAAGGAAAGCAGCTGATTCTGATTTCTGAACGCCAAGGTTATAGGGAAAGCGTATATTAGTACTGTTAAGAACGATTAGTTTTCTCCAATCTCTGTATTAGACTGATATATGCTGTTGGAGTGTTGGATGAACTTTTTCAGACTGTCTGTGTTGAATAATTCCTCTGGTTCTTAGTTATTATTTTCTGTGTCTACTTTTATTGCGGCAGCTACGATTGCTAAGGTAGTATAGATTTTCCTGGAATTTCTGTATCCTGTTGCTAGTAGTAGAAACTTGCAGAATTTTATAGTATGGATGTTGAGATGTTCACTGCATGCTATGCATCCCCTCCCACGAAGAAAACTCTAGGCTTGTATAAGAAAATTCCTAGGAGGTTCTTGGGATTGAGTCATATACATTATATATGCATTGTTTTTTTTTTTCAACTGGCTTGCAAATGAAAGTTGTGGGAAACTTCAAAGATAAGGTCACAGTTGTCATATTTGACCAAGTAGAGGATGATGTGTCTGTGCTATTAAACTCTGTGTTGCTGTATTTGATTTGTAAATGGTCGGTTTCGAGATGTGACTGGTGAGCTTTTCTTGCTGGGAGTAGATTGATCACTAGGCTGACTAGTACACATCTTGCTTAGCTTGCTTATTATAATGTATGAATCTATGACTAGTAATCCCTCTGACCGAGTTGAGGATTGAGTTTCAAGGTGGTTTGATGTATCTATGTGGTTAAACTCCGTGTTGCTGTATTTTATTTGTAAATGGTTGATTTTGAGATGTGACTGGTTACCTTATTCATGTGGGGAGTAGATTGATCAGTAAGCTGACTAGTAAGAGGATTGAGTTTCAAGATAGTTTGATGTATCTGTGCTGTTAAAACTATTTGTTGCCGTATTTGATTTGGGTAATTGGTTGATTTTGAGATGTGATTGATTACCTTTTTCATGTGGGGAGTAGATTGATCAGTAAGCTGACTAGTAAGCGCTCTGATCGAGTTGAGGATTGAGTTTCAAGATAGTTTGATGTATCTGTGGTGTTAAACTATGTGTTGCCGTATTTGATTTGGGTAATTGGTTGAATTTGAGATGTGACTGATGACCTTTTATGCATGGAGTAGATAGTATATCTTGCTTAGCTTGCTTATGATTTGTGAATAACTTTCTATGATTTATGAATCTATAGCTTTCTGAAGCATTGATGGTGTTGTGACTAGTTACTTTTTATGTTGTTTAATGATCACATTGACAGCATAGATCCAGCACATTTGAATGTTATCATTAGCAGGTTAGTTGAAATGTCTGTCTAATTGTAGTGCTTTAAGATACATTCTTTGAATTCAAGAAGAGGGTGCTTGCTTCTTGTTGCTTTCAATGGTATATAAAGAGATATAAATGAAGCCTGTTTATTTTTCTAAGAGAGCTTGAGCAAACAAGTCCACTTGGGGTTTTCCTAGTATTGGGCTTTTGCTCATTCACCTTAGAACTTACCTTAGTATTGGCCGGCTCGGTTTCAGTTATCAAAAGCTGTAAAATATACCCTTAATTTTGCAAATTTCTCGAGTTTCTTGCAAGCAAAAACCTAACATGACATTAGAGTATTGTTGCTCATAGATCAGTTGTCCATTATTGATTGGCTCAAACTAAGAAAGGCAAAGGATCATAAACCATCTAAAATTAAGGGTATATTTTATAGCTTTTGATTACTAAAATCGTATTGATTGGCTCAAACTAAGAAAGGCAAAGGATCATAAACCATCTAAATTAAGGGTATATTTTATAGCTTTTGATTACTAAAATCGAGATGACCAATAAATTAAGGTAAGCTCTAAGGTGAAACCTAACATGACATTAGAGTATTGCTGCTCTAGAAGATAAACCATTTTAGATTGCACATAATTAGTTAGCTGAAATCAAGAAATTAACTATCCGACTAACTTGGTTAGGGGTTGCCACAATCACAAACATATTTTTTTCAAACACTCTTAGTAGAGCTCGTTACATAAGATACATTATCTGTGTAATTTGTTGAATTTATTTAGTACACATCATCAAATAATAGTTGCGAGTTTTTCTTCATTAAAAAAAAAATCTAAATTGGGAAGAAATTGACCATAAAATTTCACAAATAAACCAAAAATAAGTGACCCCACTATGATGAAAGCTCCAATTAATAAACAAAAAATATCTATACTTTAAAATATCTGCAACTGGTATGTATAGTATACCTTATCATCATATGATGACTTGGAAGTTTAGAGTCCAACACTGTCACGCATTGTAAAGCTCGTCAATGGGCCCACCTGGTCTCCTTTGACTTCCCACGTGGCAGCTGGCAAAGACATAGCCGGTTCTTGTTCACCAACGTTTTGTTCACCAACGTTAATCCTGCGGTTTTGTTCTAAGTCCACCGCAGAAACACAGATAATCCTCTATTGTATACAACACACTCTACTGATGACACGCACAAATTCTTGAATCTTGCGGGTACACGGAATATCTCAATTTTGCAGACGGGCCCCCAAGAAAATCTTGAGGAAATTCACAAGAAAGTGACCCCTGAACCCACTGTCGTCAATCACAAATCTTCTTCTTCTTCTTCTTCTTCAGCTTCAAATACCATCTTCACCGCCATGGCCTTGCCGACCCGCTAGTTTCTGGACCACAGAGGTATGTTTTTAATGTTTTAACCTAAATTATTCCTTGGGTTTTGGGCTTTGGAGCCATTAAATTTCTGGGATTTTGTCTGTGTGTAAGACTCTATCCTTGAACTGTATCCTTTATCCTAAATTTCTTTGTTTTGGAGCATTTAAATTTCTGGGATTTTGTCAGTTTGTAAGACTGTATCCTCAATCCTAAATTTCTTTGTTTGGAGCCTTTAAATTTCTGGGATTTTGTCAGTTTGCAGAACTCTATCCTTGAACTGTATCCTTTATCCTAAATTGCTTTGTTTTGTTTGCTTATTCTTCCCTTTGGGTTTATGTTTGTAGCATTCTTTGTTAGCTGATTACTCCATATTAGGTTTCTGTTTTTGTTTTGCACTGATGCAGAAGTGTAGTGATTTTTAATCCTTTTGGTAAAAAAAGGTCAAAGCTTTGGCTTTAACCCCAGTTACCTGCAGAAAAGCTGGTGTAATTCTAGTATTCCTCATGGGAGATTTTAGTTGGGTATTAGAGAAATTACTTCTTGTGACTCTATTAATCTAACCGACAAAGAATTACGAGGAGATAGACTAGCCTAAGTTGTCTATAGCTAATCGGTTCAAACCAAGAAGGCCAATAGGCCGCTCCTGCTGGGAGTCGAATTTGTAACCTTGTGATTATCAAGTCAACAGTTTGACCAAATTGGGTAAAATTTCCCCTTTTGGTTTGCTAACAGGATAGAGGTTTACTTAGATAACTTTGCAGTATCTTTCTGAGTACTCTAGATATACTATGTTAGAGAAAAATGTCCATTCTTGGATGGGGAGATGATATTGCAGGGGAAAGGTTAAAACTTTGTTATGAATGTCGTGGTTGCAGAGCATTTATGATACTTGGTTAAGGTTTCAGGGTTTTAGCATATACTGTCCTTAGAAAACGATGAATATTTGAGGGTAAAAGTTACTAATGTTTGTGAAGTCTGTTTTAGAATAGATGTTTGGAACTTATCGGATGCAGGTAATGGAAGATGTTATGGTTTACGGTTTGGTTTTGGTTTTGGTTTGGTCATATCGATGAAACGGAAGGCTGTTTTCCGTTGTTTTTAGTATTATCGATTGATTGTCGAGATGCCTTTCTGAATTGTCTAACGTAATATTGCTTGTATACTTTCAGATGATTGGAACGAAAACTATGGCAACATCAGTTACGCCGGTCGAAAACATGGCTTCGTTAAGTAGCGATCTATTCTACGACATACTAAAGCGTCTCGACGGTGCTACTTTAGCTAGCGCGGCCTGTGCGTGTGCTGCCTTCTGCTCTATATCGAAGGAAGAGAAGTTATGGGAAAACGTATGCGCTTCTATGTGGCCTTCGACTAACCGAGATGACGTCAAGAGTTTGATATCGTCAATAGGCGGGTTCAAGAAGTTCTATGCGGACTGTTTCCCGCTCATTGTGAACAAGGAAGTGACTGAATTCAGATGGAATGAGTACCTCGAGAATCCCGAGGAGTGGACCGAAGCGGAGTATTATGGCGACGTAGATGAATCCGAGAATGTTTCGCCGACGGATTTTGTCTCGATTGTTGATGTTAGATACAAAGATAAGATGATCTGCTCGAAGGCGCTTTGGGGCATCCCGAATGCTAATGGCGCCCAACGTTGGTTCTATAACTGCCCGTTTCGGGTTGATCTTTTCACCTACGCTGCCCGAGACGACGACGATGCCACCGCGGGTGAAGTCACTCTCTCGGTTTCCGACGGTCTACCGCCCATTACGTCCCTCGAGAAAGAGAGGAAAGACGGGAAGCTCTGGCAGGAGCTCCGAGATGGAATCAGGCTGAGTTGGATCGTCGTCAACACGAAGATAAAACAAGCCGCTAATCTCTCGAGCTGGAGCCCTCTCGGGGGGCAGCGACACTGGCCAACCGACAAGGACTTCTTGATACGCTTCGGCTCCATTCTCCCCGCCAAGGACATCCTCCCATGCCACGCCGTGGAATGCATCCTTCTCATGAAGTTCCGAGTGATCCACACCGAAGAAGGCGGGGGCGGGGGCGGGGGGGCCCACACAACGCTCAAGATGACCGAACTAAGCATGCAGTTAGGCGACATGGAAGGCGCCCACGTTAACGGGAGGAACAGCCTGCTCGTCCTCAAGGAGGCGCTGAGCTGCCAAAGGAGCAAGAACTACAACGAGGCCCTCGAGTCCTGTCAGCTGTACTCGAAAGTGCAGAGCGAGCTGAAGGAAGAGAAGATGAGAAACGAAAGCCGCCTGGATCGACTCTACATCCTTAGCGGCATAGCAGCCTGCGCCACGTTTTGGTACTACTTTCTGTAATGCCCCGTTAAGTCCTTCCCCGCTCTCGGGATTGGGAAACAATCCTTTTCGAGTTGTGACTCGAAAATCTCTCCTGGCCGACATTGTTGGCTGTTCCTAGTACAGTACAATGTATGCAAGTATTTACCCAAAAAAAAAAAAAAAATTGGATCCATTTCTGCTCATTCTTAGCTGTTTTCTTGATTGCTATTTAATCTCTACCACGTTTAAGTGTTTTTGGTGATGACAACATAATATAGCTTCCCACGTTTGGGCATGCCGGAGCACGTTAAAAGGAATGGGGATCATCAAATCTTGTCGCCATCTCCTTCTTCATGACTCGTGTTGGGTATTAGCCATATTTTATTAGTCATGGCCGGTGGACCAAATCACCAAAAAAAAAAAAAAATACTAATCAACGATTTTGATTTTTTTAAGAATCCCGTTGGTGTAGGTATTTCTTTGTTTGTTTAACGGTTTAGGTCCACTTAACTAACCCATGTTTGCTCTAGGAGCTTGTCTTGGGGGAATCGTCATTTGTGGCCCGAGAGTTACTCCAGGTAATTTTATTTTATTTTGTTAAACAATTATGTTAAGTAGCTGACGACTAATTCTAGGTCATAAAACCAACACTCTCACTACTGTAAAGTAAACATCCTAAATACTCCCAAATACTCTATCGGGGCGGGGTGTGGAAATTATGTTTAAAGTGTACAGATTCTGTGTATTTAAAGTGGACAGATTCTTTGTGCGTATCGGCATTTGGTCATATTCGCTGAACCATTGAGTCACCGTAATTTATATTCTCCCAAATACTCTGTCGAGTCGGGATGTGGGGTCGTTAGGGTTGGAGATTCAATTCCCAAAGTAAACATCCTAAATAGATTATTACAAGATATCATGATTATGGTACAGATTGAAGGAAATGAAATATGAAAAATTGAGAAATTTGTATGAGTTGTAAAGTGGAGGTTGATGTACAGCTAAAGAAAGAAAGAAAGAAAGAAAGTCATATATCCGGGAAACGCTCCGCATATAATTCGAGACTGTATCTGTTAGGTGTCCTAAGTTAACGTCATATTATATTGACTTCCTTCTTTATAATATATATATCTAAATTTTTATTATTATCTTCATTCATAAAGAATGTAATTATGTTTTATTTTCCGTTTAATTTAGGAGTTACAATTATTCTCCAAAAGGTTGATAGGTGGTCTAAGGAGTTACAATTATATTAAATAGGGTTGTTGTGTTATGTATTGGAAGATGATAGGTGGTGAAACAATATGGAGTGATAATATTTTTTTGTTTTTGAACACGAACTGAGTTTGTTGAGTAGGTCGGGGGTTCGAGAGCGCTATGGTACATGTGTAATTTTATAAATGTACCATTAGGTTATCTAAGCCTGAATGTTTTATCATTATTATAATTAATAAAAGGGATTATTCTCTTTTGTAGACGTAGGCTCTTAGCCGAACCATGTAAATTTTTCTTCTTCGTTTTTGTCTTCTATTCTTGATTTCTTGATCCCCTTTTTTTTCAACAAATTTTATGTTTATGTACTAAAGAAAGTGTTGGTTTTATTACAGTTGACCAGACATAAACTATCTAATTTATGCGTTAAGATTTTTTGTTGTAGGAATAGAGAAATGTTGAATTAGTTTGAAAAACCACTTTGGTTACGCATGGATGATGTAAATACTCTCGAGTATACAGATATAAGCAGAAACTATTGTATAGTAGCTCGGGTAGTTGAGACTGAAGGTCGGAGGATCCCAAGCGTATGAATACTTGAGAGAGAGAGAATGATCCAAAATTTCTTTTACAAGCATTTAACATGGTATTTATAAGAGTGTGGAGCGGACATATGCCGGGAACTAGGCATGTATGACACGTGTCCTTCATGCACTCGGTGGTCTTGGAGGCTAAGGAGCGGCATCCATGTGTAATGGGAAATCTGACTGACCAATAGCGCATCAGCGCATCTATTGTGCCCGGTTTGAATGTTACTATTGTTGCTCGTCTTTTATTACTTATCTTATACGATTGGGGCCTCTGCCGAGCACAAAGGTCTTGGAGCAAAGACTTATTAAGCCATGGAACCTTGCCTTCATGTTGGGTTGGGTGAGTACTCTCTCGGTTAGACGCAGTTGAAAAATGACCCTCTCTATGTACGGAGTCGGATCCGATCGGGTGTTTAGAACGTGAGGGTTGGTAGACTCGGGGTATATATTCCCTATCACACACATAGGGTCTCATTAGGTTTGTGGTTGGGACCTTGGCGAGGATGGATGCTAAGGACCTTTTTTAGGAAAGTTTACAAGGACAATCACAAGTTAAGGATATTGTCGAGAATTACAGTCACTTGTTGTCAACAGACCTAGAGGATCTTGCTAAGAATAGTCATAGGGGGTCACATTGACTACACCAACCTTCCTGCCATGATCATATCAACATAAAAGAATCATCTTTATAATTTCAAAAATTAAATATGATACAAAATTAGTCAGACATCGTGAATTAATCAGACAATCATTAAATCCTATCACAATTTGAAATTCGAATCTTCATAGTTTTGGCCTTGGCATAGAGAAATAGACAGCATGAAATTAACAAGTGATGATCACCACTTACCTAACCTAATGCTATCAAAATGATAGTGTTATATTGAGGGGCGAATATAATCCAAAAGGTGGCCATCATGTTCTAGGGAGACTATTCCCATTCCCATTCCTATTCCCTAAATTATGCAATTTCAATGGATAAAATCACCTTCTTCTAATTTAATGTCCGACAATGTTGTTGTCCCATTCACTCACCTTTAAGTCCCTTCAATAAAGTGGGCGAACGAGTATTGGCTTATTGCTCCACTTAATTGCATTATTTTAATTTGTTGTGATAGTGAACCATAATTTGACATATATATTCTTTTATTTTTATGTTCCATACTCATCAATTCTTGTACTATGTATTGGTTGGTATATAATTATATAAAGAAATAAATGGTGCAATATGATATATACTAAGAATAGAATAAGGTAAAAAAATAAAAATGAATTGAGGTGATAAAAAATATCGTGAACTCGTGTTCTATTTTTATTTATATAATATTAAACATATATGGTAACTTTTCAATATAGTACCGAAGAATATTTATATATTTTAATTTTATTTTATATATACTATATAAACAACCCATGCATATATGGAATATAATTTATTTTAAAAATTACAAATCAAACTTTCTATAGAGATTGAAATGGATTTGTATTTTATTTTTTTATAATCTTTGGATAAAGTGAAAAATTAGAAGTCACTCTCCCAATGTAAACATTAGATAAACATTATCACACTGGAAAGGTAAATCACACTTTACAAGACCCGTGCCACAAATTCAATTAAAAAAATATAAACAAAAATTAAACTCGTGACCTTATACTTTTCGATATGAAATTTCATTTAAAGATCTACCTGATAATTCACTCCAAGGCAATGTATTTATTTTATAATCCACGTTAAAATGGGGTTTATGAACTCACGTTCTCACACGAGTCAAAAGTTGCATGTAATAACCTTAAATCCATCTCATCTACTTCTCTGTCACATGTTCACACCAATTCACCAAACTCTACCCATATCTCATTTACTCCATATTAATCTCTTTACCCTCCTCACCAATCCACCATAAAGGAAAAAGGAAGAGGAACAAATCAATGGATCGGAAAAACATAAATTGGAAATGTGATGTATGAACTCAATTGGCTAATTAATAAAAAGAGTTAAGTTTAATTTTATTGGCACGTATCTTGTCACATGACATTAGTTTATAATACTTCGGAAAATTTATAAATTTATACATATGAGGAGATTTACCTCTTTAATCGAATTTTTATGGTATGAATTGTAAAATTATTATTGAAGGGTTGGATGTAAATATGTAATCCGATTTACTTTTATTATTATTATTATTATTATTATTATTATTATTAAGATAGGAGTAGTATTGTAAAAATCAGCTTAGACATTTCTAGGGCAAGACAATTTCAGCTCTAGACAGTTTTTAGTCGACTGACCGACTAACTGATCGATTTGGCCGAGTTGAGCGGCTAATTCCGGTCGAGTCGAGCGCCTAACTTGATCGAGTCGGTGCCAACTCGATTGAGTTGGCATTCAACTCGACCGAGTGATTTTTTTGCCTGCTTGGCTACTCATCTTCTATATTTATTCAATAATGTATTCAACTCATCATCTAACATATGTAGATGACTATTTTGGAAATTATAACAGTCTAACAACTCCTAATCTTTAGTGGGAAAAATGATGACCATATACTCGAATTACTCAGCTGCTTAGGCGTTAGGCGCACTTGGGCGCCCGACTAGTGCTACAACATTGGATAGGAGGGGTAGAACTATTGAGATTGGGTTGTAAGAATCTACCACATGTACTCCCTATTTTTACTCCATCACTTTTTATTTCCTGATGTGGTAATTGATGATTAGTTATTTTCATTATGTGAGTCCTAATGAAAATGTCAATATTAAAACTTTGTGGGGGAAAGTAAAAATTGAGAGTAGAATTTGAAAATTGGAATATTATTTTCCTTTTTTTAATAGGAAAAAGTAGAGGGAAACAAGTTAATGAAAAGGGGGAAAAGGCGTAAAATGGAAACTTGAAGCTTGAGCCTTTCTTCATGGTGATGGATGTCTGTGTAAAAAACGTTAAAACGGATGAAATGAAACCAGAAAAAGTTGCTGCAATAAACACAGAAATATACGGAATGAGTCAATACCACACCCCCTTGTGAGCTTTGTACAAAAATCATATTGTGCCGTTTGTGCTTTTTGCTTTGAAAATTTGGCGTCTTTGTCCATCTATACCCCACCCCATCATCATCACCATCAAAGCTCTCTCTCTCTCTCTCTTCTCTATCAGTTCCAAGTTTGAAATTCTCCGTATGAACACTTCTCCACACGGCATTGAAACTCTAATTTTTCCCTACTTTTTTGTGCTTATTTTAACTGTTCTTGGTACTATTTATCTTCAAGAACCCAGAAATCTTTGGTTGTAACGAAGATGAGCGAGAACCCAAATCCGAAAGCCAAGAATCCAACGACCCACTCCGATTTCTTGAAGAGATTCAAGCCGCGGCTGAAGGCTCTGGAGACTTCGCCGGGCGTTCTTGGCTGTTTCTTCCTCACGCTCTGCTTGCTCTTTTGTCTCTCCTTGCTGGACTACAGAACTGTGACCAGTGGGATCCCGTTTCGTGGGCCGTCCTGGTTTGGGGCCAGTGATAATCAGTCATTATTGAGCTCTGATGTAGATCGGAAATTGGTGGGATTTCTTGAAGAAGACGGCTGCGATATCTTTGAGGGGAGTTGGGTGTGGGATGAGAGCTACCCGCTATATGAATCACAGGATTGCTTGTTCTTGGATGATGGGTTTCGTTGTTCTGAGAATGGTAGGCCTGATAGATTCTATACCAAATGGCGCTGGCAACCTAAACACTGCAACTTGCCCAGGTTTGGTTAAATCTTTCTTTCACTTTCTGTGCTTTTCAGCATTCTATTCTTGTGTTTGTCTTGATGGAAAGTTTCATTCTTTTGTTCTCCAATTAATCACTAATGGAAAAAACCATAACTTCTACCTCTAAGATAGGTGAGTTTTGGGTTGCAATGAATTGATGAAGGCTATAGAACTTTGGTGAGTTATTCCCTATTTTCAAGATAGGGCAATAGGTGCTCGTGGGCTAGTTCAGTTGGTTCAATCGATCAGTATTACGGAGTTCGAATCTCAATGAGAACCTAGGGGTCATTGGGACCTCGACCGATTAGACCCCTTGTCTATGCTAGAGGTGGGAACCTAGAGACTGATTGGGCGACTTGGGTAGGGGTTTCGGGGGCTTAGGATTAGTCTGGTGTAAGTCGGGAAACTTAATGCATAAAAAAAATGATAGGGCAATAGGAATTTCATATGGGGCAATTGCTATAGGTTTTAGCTTTAGGCTATTGAATTTGTTTAGACCACTTATGCAGGAATGAACTTTCTTAATGCTTGGTAAGAAGAAAGAAAGGAATTGATTATCTGAACTTTCTTACTATATTTGGGAACAGATTTGATGCAAAGAACATGTTGGAGAAGCTGAGAAACCGGAGGGTTGTGTTTGTGGGAGACTCGATTGGGAGGAACCAATGGGAGTCCCTTCTCTGCATGCTTTCTTCTGCGGTTTCTAACAAGAGTTCGATATACGAAGTCAATGGAACTCCGATCACGAAACACACTGGTTTCTTAATCTTCAAGTTCGAGGATTTCAACTGCACGGTTGAATATTATAGAGCCCCATTTCTCGTGGTACAAGGCCGTGCACCTGCTGGCTCCCCGAATAAGGTAAGAATGACTTTAAGGCTCGACCAAATGGATTGGAGCTCGAGTAAGTGGAAAGGTGCAGACGTGCTCGTCTTCAACACGGGTCATTGGTGGAATTATGAGAAGACGATTAGAGTGTAAGCTTTATCTCATCTATTAAAACCATATTCTCCTCGAATGCAAATTTCTAATTTCCTTAAAGACTTTTAAAAGATCTATTTTTTGACCAGTGAATTCCTTCAATTGACAGGGGATGTTACTTTCAAGAAGGCACGGAGGTGAAGATGAATATGAGCGTGGAAGATGCGCTTCACAGATCAATCGAAACATTGGTCGATTGGTTAGGTCATGAAGTAAATATGTCCAAGACCCACGTTTTCTTTCGTAGCTATGCTCCTGTTCATTTCAGGTTTGTCTGATTCTCGCCCCATTATTTGATCAAGATTTACTTTTTAGCTCGTGATTTCGTTAAAGATTTTACTTTATTCTCCAGTTTTGTTAAAAACTTTCATAAATCTCCATTCCATTGATTGATTGATTGAATCATCTGTCCATTTTTTCCTGCCCCACTCCAAAACTATGTTGTCTTGTTTCTAATGCTCGTGAAGATCCTTGATTGCTTGGTTTATTTCATTTCTACTCACATAATTGAAATTAGTGACAAGATAGTATTTTGTTTTTAGTGGTTGGTGGTTGGGGACAGGATAGTATGTGCTTAGCTCTAAGATTTAACGGGTTTGGAATACGGTTTCTGGACCTGTCACAATCCTCTCAGAAGGACTAAACATCTAAACCAATTCCTTTGTTTTATACGTTTAATGTGGCTAACAGAGGTGGGGACTGGAAAACCGGTGGTAGCTGTCACCGGGAGACGCTCCCCGACCTGGGATCATCACAAACGGCATTCAAATCGTGGATGGAGTTTAGCACGGTGATCGATGTTTTGTCAGAACGTCGGGATTCAAGATTGCAGAAATTGGAAGTTCTGAACGTGACTGGCATGACTTCTCGGAGAAAAGATGCTCACTCGTCTTTGTACTATTTAGGCCCCAAGTCGGGACCGGCTCCTCTTCACCGGCAAGACTGCAGCCACTGGTGCCTCCCCGGGGTCCCCGATTCCTGGAACGAGCTCCTCTATGCTGTCTTTGTCAAGCGGGAGCTCAAGAACGACTCTCGGTCGTCTCAGGTTAGACAGGCTGTGAATCTTTCTCGACCAAGTACAAAAGCAGCCCTGGAACGTCACACAAAGTGACAAAGCCCCCCTCCGGTTTTCAGCCTTTGTATAACCTCGAACACAATCATGTTCAATCCTAGTATCCTAGGATGGGAATCATTCGATTGGTAGAACAAAATTCTTTTGCAGTCTGCATCTGCTCGTCGAATGGACTCGATTGAGGATGCTGCATCACCAGATGAGACTCAAACAAATTGTTTGTACCATTGAAGTGGATTCATTTGATAACCAAATTTAGGCCTGATTTTTGCATTTTGTATACAGAAGATCCTGTACATGACATTTTACCTTGTATATATATATATATGATAAAAATTTTAAAGCTATTATATGTTAAACACGCTCCCTCACGTGTGCAGATCGATTACTTTCTTTTCTTTGATTAGCTCTGATACCAAATTGAAGCATATACCACTTGGATTGCACATTTATGTTTATACCAGGTTCAACAAAACTTCTTTCACTGCAAATTATTGTCATTATTATTGAATGGTGGTTCTACATTGAACAAGTTGATGATAGAAAATCAAACACAATAACTGAAAGAAAACATATGGGATTATGGGAACAACATCGACTGAATTAGTCTGGTGTAAACTGGAAAACCAAACCCGAGACAATTGAAGCATGCGCTCCATCGATACTAAATTGAAGTATGTGCTCCATCTCAACTAAAAGTCTAAGCTGATAATTGGATGGCACATTAATGGTTATATGCTCAACAGAGACAAACCTGTATCATTCCTTAAAAGGGTACTGCTCATACCTGATGGAGCAGTCAAAGAGGAGGGCACGGCCGCCGATGCGGCGGCTGCAGGTGGCGGTGACGGTGGCGTTGGCGGCTCCCAGGCAAGTTGTGCAATCTGGGGTGGTGAGATTTGTGTTGCAGGTGGCATGGCCGTAGGCGAAGGCGTTGGGGTAAGGAGAAATGTTGTAGTAATCGTAGTTGTGTCTGGCCGGCGTCTCGTTCTGGAGCTCTTGAAGAACATAAGCTAGGCTGATGGCGAAAGGGTCGCCGCCGGTGTACTCGCCGGAGTTGCAGAGGACGCTCCTTGCGTTTGTGTTTGGGACGCTCTTAACTGTGGTAAAACTAAAACAGAGTGTGAAAAAGAGGATTAGTTCTGTGATTGTGGCTGCCATGTTTGAGAGACCAAACAGCCATGGCCGCAGGTCAGAGGTTTTAGCTGTGTTTCCTTTGTGGGACCTTTTCATTGAATCCTCCGCTGAATTGGACGACATGTCGTTTTTGTTCTTGTCCTATGTTTCTTGTCTTGTTCTAAGGATTTCATCTTGGTTCTTGTTTTTGGATCATCAATTTTTTTTCAAACTAAACACTGTAGCGGCCATAGACTAAAGGAATTGGTAATGCAAAATCATGCCCACAAGGCATTGACCAGTGGGTCTGTGTATTTTTTGTTTTTAAAAATTTATTTAATTTTTTTAATTTTTTTTAGGACTAATAATTATAAATTATTTAATACTTTAATAGTTAATACTAAAATATTAAATATTAATCTAAAAAATATTTAGAGTTTGAACAATTTAAGATTATTTCACTAAAAATGATATTGTTTAGAATGAAATAATCCATTTTTTTTTTTAAAAAAATAATAGCTAATTGGCCGACTAGGTGGCCTAGTCGGCCTAGACGGTCAGCGCCTAAACAGCCTAGTCAGCCTAGACGGTCAGCGCCTAAGCAGCCTAGTCAGCTGACCGCCTAGAACACCGATTATGGTGATACACTAGACTCCTTCTTAGTAGCGGCGTCCGGAAAAGAATAGGAAATGTGATTTCACTATATTTCTTACCGGGGACCGGGCCCACCACAAGAATATTTTTTTATTGGGCCTATCTTTTCTTTCATCTCGGTAGAAAGACGATCGGGAGAGGCTAATTCAAAACCCTCCGGTAAAATCAGAACAGCCCCCACATTCAAACCCCTTTTTTTACCATTAGAAAGAACTTGTTTCAGTTGCATATCGTAAGGGATTCGAACAACGGCTTCAAATACAATATTGGGAAGTACTACTTGTGGTACCTCAATATCTACGGGCTTATTAGCTAAATGACAATTGGCACATACAACAGGACCAGTTGCTTCTCGTGGATTTTCAAAAAATCGACGCTTAGATGCCAATTAATCGATGCCTAGGCCAAATTTTTACAATGCCAGTGATTGAAAATTTGTATTTAGAACTCATTCGATGGAACTCTTGAAGTGGACTGGGGACAACCCATCCTTGGGGGCTTATTGTTAATGTTAATAAGTATTTATTTGTTACGACATTATATCCCGACAATTGTAAAAAATTCATTAAAATTGTAAATAATACCAAACATATATTTACTTATAAATGATGGAACATGAACATAATTAATGCCTCACCAGCATAGCATACATTGTAGTTTGTACTATATAAGAAAAAGAGATATAGTTATTAAAGTTTTCTGGGAAGGCTTTTAATAATGATCTTCCCATCTACCTATTTACCATTTCTCTGTCTCCCCCTTTCACCTCTACATGTATGCTTTAATGCTGGGATCATCGGACCGACCTTCTGAACTTCGAAATTTTTTTAAATAATGACTTTTGAACCCCTTTGAGACAGATTCGTAGGGATTCCCAAAATTGGGATTAAAGTCGCAAAAATATTAGAAAAAAATTTTCAAAGTCAAAAGAGAGGTAAATGTTCAGTTCCAACGATATAATTAACCGTTATTTAGTATATTTTGTATGGTTAAATTAAACCTTTGAATATGATGATTTAGCTAGCTAGGCCTCAAATTTTTTGGTGTGAAACCCAGCAATGTCTCCTAGTTGTTCCACCTTTGTTGCCAACACTTGAACCTTCTCCACCATCTCATTCAACAGGAAAACAAAGGTTGCCATGCCCAAATCCGAAGGTGAGTTCACATTATTATGGTTATTAAGGTTGTCTTGTTTCATGGACTGTAACTTTGGACTTATTGTGACCTTAGCTCTGCATACTTTCATGTCTTTTATGCTCTCTCCAATCTCCCTCAGACTCCACACCAGCGTTACCCCCACGGCTTCGCAGGCCTCTTTGATGACTCCTCTTTCTGTTGGCAATGGCTAATCACCAAAAAGATAAACAACAAATTATCAAAAAAACTCGCAATTATTATCAAAAAATGCGTTCTGGGCAGCAAAGAATCACAAAGAGTTAAACCTGTGCAGATGATTGAATGCAACCTTTAAGAGAAATTACAGTTGCAGCAAGTTCTCTTAGAGCTTCCCCAATCTCCAAGTACTTTTCCCATGGATAAGCGAACCCAAACCTCCCATGCCACGGTTCCCATTTTGCAAAATTTGCCTGAAAATTTTAATTTTAGTTAATTTTTTGCTAATTAAAAATAAAATCTAAACACAATTTTCTAAGATCAATAAATTAATTAATTAAAGTGATATATGTGTGCTTATATAATTAAGTATATTATATACCAATGATTCTTCGTTGGACTTGGAATGCAAGACAGCCTTGCAACCACTGACATCGGCAGTTGCTTTGCTTTCTTTCTCGTCGGAAACCATGAAATACTCCTCCAGGCACCCTACAATCGTGTATAAATTTTGTCAATTATTAAATATATAAAATAATTTATCTATAAAATAATTTGCAAATCACAATAACTCATCAATAGGTTAGTAGAGAAGGACAAATATTGGTGTCTACAAGGAATCTACCTACTTTAGACATAATCCCTACACTTTCTTTATCGAAGTTGTCAAGATTCTAACATTAGTCCTGTTTTGTAAAAATTGACCTATAAGCCAATTTTGACTTATTTGACCACTATTAATTGTTTGATTTAGTTAAAATATCAATATAAGTGATTGATTAATTAGCTTTTTGCAACCTCAAAAGGCTAAAATTCAAAAAGCTATTCCAAACAATTTTTTCAATTAGCTTTTGAGAAAAAAAATTATATCAAACAGCTATCAAACTAACAGCTAATTTACCAAACATTTTTCTACAATCAGCTAATGCTATCAACTATTTACACCATCTAATTAATACAATTAGTTAACAGCCATTTTACCAAACATGGCCTTTATCTTTTCTCTGAAATATTACTAATTGAACCAGTGAGCTAAGTTGGTGTGGGCATAATAGTACAATTTTGTGATGATGGAAAGTAAAGTTTTACCTTGAAGAGAAGAAGCGATTTTGTCAAACTTGGCGGCGGTGGAGGAATGGAGTTCGTCGCCGGCCCACTCCGGGAAGACGAGCAGGCTGATGAAGATGCAGACGGCGAAGCCCATTCCGATGGTGCAGAGACGCTCGCGAGCCAGCTTCATAACCTTGTAGGCGCGCACGCCAGAAACCACCACCAAGTTGAACGTCAGGATGAAGATCATCACTCCATAGTCGTACTTCCTTTTGATCCCCGGCACCAACCTCGAGTACGTCGCCGCCGCACCTGCACATTTTCCGGCATCCACATATAAATTAAACCTCCATTGCTCTATGTAACAAATTAAAGATTCCCCCGAGATTCTTGGAAAAAATATCAGATTCATGTGCTCCATCTCAACTAAAAACGGAAGCTAATAGTTGTGTTGTACATTAATAGCTATATGCTCTGGTTACTCACTTATAATGAAAATGGAAATGCCAACGACAAAAGCACTGCGATAGCCGGGAAGTTGATCGGCCAAGACCGCCGCAAAACATCCTAGTAAGCCGCCGACGATGGTGCCGATTCCTCGGTTTATCCCTTTGCTCAGTGTCGCACCTGATCACCAACATTAATCAAGAAATTAAAACCAGACATCCCCCCACCGCCGGAAAATTAAACTAACTAACCCAAGTTTCCGACCATTATTCTCACCTGCGAAAAACTCGAAGACGACGACGACGGTCATGATAGCCCACATCGCATTCTGTCCGACTTGCCGGAAAAGAGGGTCCAGCATATACAAAAGGGAGACCAGAACCAAAGCCATCCCAACCTTAACGCTGTGCACCGCCTTTCTCTTGTCGAATTCACTTTTCACGGCCGCCGCCATTTTTTCCTTAATGGAGGAAAAACCATTCTTGGAAACAAAACAACACCGATGATCACGCTCCTCTGTCGTCTTCTCCATGCTTCCTCCTGCAACTCTACTTTTGTCATCTCCTTCTGGGTTGTTGATCGGGACGACGACCACGACTGAATTCATTTTTGTTAAATATGATATATATTGTTTCCTGGATTTCTTGGGCTCATAGGATGAGAGTTGGGGACCATGCAAAATTGCAAAACTCCCAAAACATATATATAGAGGAAATGAAGTGACAAACAATGGAGGGAAAAATGGAATGTTTGTATTAATTAATTTTTGTTTTTTATTTTATATGTGGGAGTCTAAGCCCCATGAGATCGTAGAATTTTATTTTTTGTTTTATTATAATTAGTAATGCATCAATTATATAGTGAGACAAATTGGGTCAAGAGCCCTCCCCCTCCCCCCCCCCCAAAAAAAAAAAAAAAAAATAATTGAATGGGTACACATCATGATTTTTTGTACCAAAAAATTATAAATTTTATTTTTGGAGTGTTTGGTAAATAACTTTTAACTTATTGAGTTAGTGATTTTGACTAGTTGATAGCATTAGCTTATTGTAGAAAGATGTTTGGTAAATTAGTTGTTAGCTGATAGCTGATTACATGCAAAATAACTTTCTCAAAATGTTAATTAAAAAAAAAAAAACTACTTTGAACTGCTTTTTGAATTTTAGGGTTTTGGAGCAATAAACTGTTACAAAAAGATAATTAATCAAACACTTATATTTGTTGTTTAACTAAGTCAAACAGCTAATAATATAATGGTCAAATAAGACAAAAGTGACTGATAAACTAACTAGGTTACCAACCAAGGCGTCAACATCATTTCAGTGTGATTTATCTCAAGATATAAAGTGGGTGAAAAAGGGTTCAGGAGTTCGAGAGAAATAATCGAATAGATAAAACATGACTTTTGTACATTAAAATTACGAATTTTATTCCATTCTTGTCAACATTTTTGGATATGATTTATTCTCTTTTCTAAAACTTAGAAACTATTCCACAAAAGCTGAGCTTGCCTTGCCATCCAAAAAAAAAAAAAAAAAAAAAAAAAAAAGAGGTGACGGAAGTACGTGTCATATATGTTTGTTATTAAACTATGATTGTGTTATTTAATTTGTTATATTTCACTCTCAAAAACCGTCACCAAACATTTCACAATAGCTTTCGTAATTAAAAGTAGTCCTAAAATTAAATATGTTTTTTTTTTTCCGTTAAAAAAGCATTTTAAGGCGCATGTTAAAAGAAATTTAGATACTTTAAAAAAAAAAAACATATTAAGTTATTTCAATTTTATGGGACTAATCTTAAGCTCACATGACCTTGTCTTAAGAATTAGATCCTAGTCTTCATGTGCGTACAAGGGATTCAATACAGACCTTCTAATTAACATTCTTGGGCATGACCTTTAAGTGAAACCACCAATCAACTACACACTAAGTCTCCGAAAACGAAATTACATCCACAGAAATTATGAAACTGATAAACAATACAAATAAACATTGTGTATCCGCTACTAGTTACAACTGGTGGCGTTGTGATAATATAAGCATTTGATTCTAACACAATACATAAACCGAGGCAATGCCACACTAACACTATCCTCCTCAATTATAGCTACTTGGGAGGAAATCGAACACCATGGGACAAATTATTGATCCACACAGTGTTATGTGGATCATAACAAAATGTACATTATTTTTGTACTGAATGTACATTATACAATATAATGTACACTCAGTACAAAAATAATGTACATCCCCTGAATACAATGTACATTATTTTTGTGTTGAATGTACATTATTTTATAGTATACAAAATATGGTCCACACAATAATAATTGAACACATGGAGACCCAACTAAGATAATCAAATTAAACCCAGCTTTTCTTTGACTTTAATTTCATGATGTTTAATTTAAATAATTCATCAATATATACGTTCAAATTGACTTGTAGCATGAGAGCTAGTGACCCATCCAAAGGAAGACAGGTGGGTAGTGTTGCAACCTTTGATCTAAATTAGGTTGTCTCCTTGTACTATTTCAACATAACATTATATATGGGTGGTCAATATTTCTTATGCCCTAATATTATATATAATTGATATAACGTACTGTACTTGCCAAAGAACGATTAAAAACAGATAAAAGTACAAAAAAATATATAAAAATATCTAGATATGCTTGTTCGTCCTCACTTGGGGTGGGTAGGTTCCATGGACTTAGTGCAGGTGTCAAGTTGAAGTGCACGGATGAAAGGGCTTCGGCACGCCTAACCCCACTGGTTTGGGCAAAAGAAGAAGGAACGTCGGGGAAAAGATAAAGTAAAACGAGTTTGAGTCATTTAATATAAAGTCAAAAATTTTAACTCATATGTATGCAGTGACACTGTAGTACTCTTGAAATATCAGAATAATTTCTTTCTCGAATAAATCTGATCAAGGTTTAATTAGATTAGTGTCGTTTTGTGAAATACACAGATACGATTCAAATAATGTTATTAAGAAAAGTATAGAAACATAAAACGTGAAAAACATCAAATAACATTAAGGGGTCTGATCACGAATGCATATATATGGTTGTACTAATATGTTGGATGAGTGGAACGTAACACGCTTGCCTCCATAACCCCAGCCATTGGATGCCAGTGTTTTGAAAATGGTGTAATTTCGCAATCCCCACAACCAATCGCTACCAATTTCTAGATTTTTTTGTCATATATCTTGGGGGAAATTGTATGATTTCGTATGCTGTCGCGCTATCAAAAATGAATATTTACTCTCCAGATATTTCAGTAGGTATTCAGGTTTATGGAAAAAAATGCATGATTGAAACATGACGATAGTCGTAGTATGGGAGCTACATCTAATATGATTAGCTTATTGTGGGTACTGGCCTTCCCACTTAAGAAGTGTATGTGTTGAGTCACATTGATTTACCCCTCAAACGTTCTGTGAAGGCAAGGGATTTCGCCTTTTGTAGGAAAAGATTGAATATTTACTATTGGATAGCTAGTGCGGAGGCTTGAATCCAAGACTAATTAAAGGACGTGTTTGTTATCCTGCCATTGAAACGTGACACTGATTGTTATGCTAGTATAATGAAATAAAGTTACAACTTCGCTATTAGTTATAATTTTTCGCGTATCAGAACATGTCACAAATTCAAATCTCATTTAGGGTGTGTTTGGAAACCAGGGAAATGACTTATTTCACAGAAAACATTTTCCTTTTCAGTATTTGGTTACATTACATAAAACTGTCTTGGTTTGTTTGATTCCTTTTCCAAACAATGACCAGAATTGTATAATTAAACATTGGTTTCATAAAAAAAAAAAAAATCAATGTTATTTATAAAAAAATTTTTTTAAAAAAAAAGAAAAAAAAAACAATGGTAAGTAAATGGTTTCATTAAAAAAAAAAACAAAAATACAATAAAATAAAATAAAAAACAGAAGACGAAAACCAAATCTTGTTTCCGGCTTCAAAAACCATAAAGTCTGGTTTCTGTCGGGAACCAGAGATTGGTTCTCACCGGAAACCATTCATATGGGTTCATTCGAAGATAGAGCAGGCTGCGGTGAAAAATGACTTCCCTCAGCAAAAAGGGAAAGTTATTTTCCAAAAAATTGGCTTTGTTTTTCTTTGACCAGAATTCAATTTCTATTGACTTTAGTATTTCCTCTCTTGCCAAATACTAGCTAGAAACCCGAAAAATGATTTTCTGGAATCATTTTCTGGGTTTTCAAACACACCCTTAGGTTGTGATATTACACGGAATCTATTTTTCTTCTCCCAAAGGTTGAAGGCAATTTATATCCTACACCACGGCGCGCGTTGCACTATGCGCCCAGATGCAAAACGACGTCCTTTTAATTTATTTTTTTTTTGAAATTTCCCGCCCCAGTGAATGGCAGTAGTTTTTTCTTTAAAAAAAAACCCGCTGTTCAAGAATGTACATAATGTTATACTAGAATACATATAATGTTATACATGAATGTACATAATTATATAACAAAATATACATACTCTTTTTAAAAGATAATACACATAATCTAACATAATACATAATAAACATAAACTTTTAACATAATACACATCAACTCTTAACATAATACACACAAATTTTCTGATTCGGATGTACATAATTGTATAAAAAATACACATAACTGTATGAACCAATACACATAACGTTGTGAACAAATACACATAACGTTGTGAACAAATACACATAATCTCAGCAACTTCCTACCGCGCCTCCCAACACTACCCCAAAACGACGTCGTATTGGGAGGCGCGCGGCCCACAGTGCTATGTGCGCCGTGGTGTAGGATATAACGATTGAAGGTTGAATCCCCAACCCTAAGGGCCCACACCCCGGCCCGACAGAGTATTTAGGAGGATGTAAATCACGGTGGGAGCGTTATGCTGTGCATCCGTATGCACCATGCATGGTGCATCCGAATGCAAAAACGACGTCGTTTTGACATCTAATTTTTTTTTTAATAAAAAAAAAAAAATCAGAATTGCATAACTACACATCCATAATTTCATAACTATAAATCCATAATTACATAACTACACCTCCATAATTTCATAACTATAAATCCAGAATTGCATAACTACACATCTATAACTTCAAAACTATACATCCAAAATTGCATAACTAATTAACTACACACATCCATAACTTCATAACTATAAATCCAGAATTGCATAAATACACATCCATAACTTCATAACTACACATCCAGAATGAATGAACTAAAAAATGAATTGTTGGATCTCAGCGCTGCACTATGCTTACTTCCCTCTATTTCCCAGGGGGTCACTCATCCCGGGATTGCCGGAAGTCAAGCACGCTTAATCACAGAGTTCTATGGTACCTGGTTGCCATATCCTACTTAAAACCAATTGGTGATAAGTAGGTGTAGGTGGACATTAACCATTTAACCACATCTCTCCATGGTAAGCCACAGCGCCACGTCCCGAATCGAGTAGGGGCTGAACTCGGCCGACGCCCAACAATCCCCCTCCCAGCACCTGCCGCAACCTTTTAGCCTACATCACAGAGTTCTATGGTACCTGGTTGCCATATCCTACTTAAAACCAATTGGTGATAGGTAGGTGTAGGTGGACATTAACCATTTAACCACATCTCTCCATGGTAAGCCACAGCGCCAC